AATCACGTCAGGGGCTGGCCCTGTGGAGTGGGAAGTAGGTGGGGTCCAGAGGCACGTCCCACCAAGGAGTGCTGTTTGCTCCCTGGGTCAGCTGGAGAGCCTTGGTGCAGCCAGGTGCCTGAGCCTGTTCTCCCTAAGTCACCTCCAGTAGTATGGGTCTCCCCAGGGGTTCAAAGTTCCTTCTGCCATCTCTCCCTTCCCAACTCTCTCTGACACCACATCTGACTGTGCCTTTCCTGCTCGTACACCTGCCATGGCTTCCCATTTCCCTCCATTCAAGGAGATGAATTTCAGTTGTTCCACAGGTATGGTCAACATGGAGCCAGCAGAATAAGTGAATAATAATGATAATGGTTGAAGTCCCATTTAAAGCCCTGAGTCCAGCCCTTTGCATGATTCAGCTCTTAGACCCTGCAGCACAGTGAGGGGGTCTTAAGTCAAAGTCCAGACTCCTGGTCTCCAGCTCAGGCTGACTCCAGAGGAAGAAGACATTTCCTGCTCACTTTTTGATTTATGCCACGGATGAGGTGTTCTCAAACACACCCTTAGCCCCAAGCTCTGTGCTCTTGGCAGGCAGCAAACGGCAGGAGGCTGGGGCGTCCCCTGGTGGCTCACAGTGGAACACAGAGGCTAGACCCTGTTTTTCCTCCCCTCAGCCTCATTTCCTCCTCTGGGGCTGGGCCCTCTAGTTCCCCATCCAGGTGGGCCCCCTTTCAGGTAAAGAACCTGATGAGGCACCACCAAGCCCCAGGTAGGTGGGGGAATAATGAGCATGAGTGGCTGAGAAGGGATCAGTTTTCCAAGGGCTCTCACTCCTCTCCCTACACCAGCCTCTTCAAAATTTTTCAAAATAAAATTTAATTGTTTTTTATCCTCACCTGAGGACATTCTTGCATTTATTGTCAGAGCAGGAGGGAGAGAGGGAGGAAGAGAGAGACAGAAACATTGATGTGAGAGAGACACATCGAGTGGCTGCCACCCACACGGCACCCACCAGGGCCGGGGACAAACTGCAACTGAGGTACGTGCCCTTAGCAGGAACCAAACCCGGGACTCTCCGGTCTGTGGGCAGACGCTCTAACCGCTGAGCTAACCAGCCAGGCCTATAAAATTTAATTTTTTAAAGGTTATACATGTGCATGATTTTTAAAATGCAAATGTTACAAAAAGATGTATAGAGAAACATGAGACTGCCTTCCCCACCAACCTCTAGCCCTCTAGTTCCCACCCAGAGGCCACAGCTGTGACCAGTGTTTTCTTTGGAAATATTTGGATAAAAATATCCCTCGAATTATTGCTCTTTTGCTTTTTACATTATGTGTCTCACAGAAGACCTTCTTTGGCCTTTTTAATAGTTGTATAGTATAGTATTCTACTGTGTGAATAGACAGACATTCACTTAAAGTCCTCAACTGGCTGACATTGAGGTTGTTCCCAATTTAAAAATATATATATTTTTAGAGAGAGAGGGAGGGAGAGGGAGAGAGAAGCATCGATCAGCTGTCCCGGGATGTACTCTGACCGGGAATTGAACCAGGAACCTTTTGGTGCAGGGATGACACCCAACCAACTGAGCTACACGGGCCAAAGCTGTTTCAAATGTTTTTTGCGCCCTGGCCGGTTTGGCTCAGCGGATAGAGCGACCCGGGTTCGGTTCCCGCTAAGGGCATGTACCTCGGTTGCAGTTTGTCCCCGGCCCTGGTCGGTTGTGAGGGTGGCAGCCACTCGATGTGTTCCTTTCACGTCGATGTTTCTCTCTCTCTCTCTGTTCCTCTCTCTCCCTCCCACTCTACCTGAACAAAAAATGGAAAAATGTCCTCGGGTGAGGATAAAAACAAAAACAAACAATCAAATGTTTTTTGCAATTACCAAAAATATGCTAATAATGTCCTCTTCCTACCTCTCCTTTTTATATGTACATTTTAATTTGTGGAATAATTTTATATTTACAGAAAGTTTGCATAGATAATAGAGTTCCTGAATAGCCCTCACCAAGCTTCGTCCATTATTAACATCTTATATACCATGATTCCTTTGTCAAAACTAACAGATTAACCTTAGTATATTACTATTAACTAAACTCTAGATTTTATTTGATATACCCCACTAAATGTTTTTCTGTTCCAGGATTCTGCATTGCATTTGATCCATCATTTTGTATCCATGTAAATATGGTTGTAGGTAATTGCTAGAAGGGAAATTGATGGGTCAAGTGGTTTGCACCTCAATTTTGAGAGATGAGAGAAAACTGCCCTCTCAAGTGGTAGTACCAAAGAGCAGTTCCAACTGTGCTACATGGATTGCTTGTTTTCTCATAGCAGTCTAACACAGGATATTTACAAACTTTTAATCTGTTTATTTTCTATCTTTGCCAAACCAATTGGTGGAAATTGGTACCACATTGTTGTTTCAATTTGCATTGCTTTTCTAGGAGTGAGGTTGGGTATCTTTTTCTTTGAAGACTGAAATTTCCTCTACCAATGCATTAAAAAAAAGTTTTTATTGATTTTTTAGAGAAAGAGGAATAGAGAGATAGAAACATTGATGTAAGAGAGAAACATTGATTGGCTGCCTCCTGCATGCCTCCCACTGAGGATTGAGCCCGAAACCCAGGCATATGCCCCAACCAGGAATCAAACCCACCAGGAATTGAACTGACCAGAAGTTGAACTGGGATCTCTCAGTCCATGGGATGATGCTCAGTCCACTGAGCCACACTGGTCAGGTGAGGTTGGGCATCCTTTTTAGTATGTTTCTATGAACTGACTTTCCAATGTCTTTGTTTATTTTTATATGAATTATTATTTTTAAAAATTTTGTTTGTTAATTCTCACCTGAGGATATTTTTTCCATCGATTTTTGTTTTAATTTTGTTTTCTTTATTGATTTTAGAGAGAGAGGAAGGGAGAGGGAGATAGAAACATTGATGAAAGAGAACATCAATTGGCTGCCTCCTGCATGCCTCCCACAAGGGATTTGGCTCACAACCTGGGCATGTACCCTGAATGGGAATCGAACCAGCAACCTTCTGGTGCATGGATCAATGCTCAACCACTGAGCCACTCCAGCAGTGCTTTCTATTGATTTTTAGAGAGAGTGGAAGGGAGGGAAGGGAAAGAGAGAGAAAAACATCAATGTGAGAGAGACACATGGATTGACAGAATGAGGAACACTCCAGTTAAAGGAGATGAAAGACACTTAACAAATACAGCGTGTGAGCCAAAATACTCTTTTGTTATAAAGGACATTATCAGAACAGTTGGCAAAATCTGTTTAAGGCCTGCAGATTAGATAACAGTATTTTATCAATATCCATTTCCTGATTTTCATAATTGTACCATGATTATGTGAGAGAATGTCCTTGTGTTTAGGAAATGCAAACCGAAGTATTTATGGGTAAAGACATAATTTCTGCAAGTTTTTCATAATGATAGAGAGGGTGGAAGGGAGAGAGAGAGAGAGAAGAAAGCAAAAAGATGGTAAAAGTTAACATCTGTGGCATCTGGGTGAAGGAGTTCTTTTTACTCATCTTCCAATTTTCTGTAAGTCTAAAGTTATGTCAAATATAAAGGTAAAAGACAAAAATAATATAAAATTGTGCCACATGAGATTATTTCAATTATTTCTGAACTGTATAAACAGTACTTTCGTATGATTCAACCTATACATTCTCTTCCTCTTTTCTAATATGTGTTTCTCTTATTTTTCATATCTGATTGCATTGGCTAGTACCTCCAGAATAATATTAAATATTTGATAGTGATTCTTTTCACCTTGTCCCTGAATTTGATGGCCTTTTCAGAACTTTTCTCAGTTGATCCATCAGTATTGTGAATTTTATTAACAAACTTCTGAATAGTGAACCATTCCTGCAGCTCAGATATAGGTCACCTTTGTTGTGGCATATTTTAAAGCGTTACTCAGTTCTCTTTGCTAAAATATATCATTTGGGAGTTTCGTACTATCCTCCCAGGAAGAAGAGTCTTATTGTGTTATCTGTCAGTTTTTGTTGTCGAGGTGAAGCCTGCTCTATTAACGTGATTCCAACCACTCGTTTTACAAAGTACACTGAGTCCCAGAGAGGAGAAGTGATTTCTGTAGGTCACTCCCAAGCCAGGGCTGGACTCTAAGTCCCCATGATTGTGGGATGAGGGCAATACTATCGTTAGAGGGGACTTAAGTCCCAGATCAGCACTATTTCACTGGATGACTAAATGGACCTGTTTCTTATCTGCAGAATAAGCACAAGATGGTCGGGGAGAGAGGATGGAGTCTCCTTTCTGTTTCCATTCAAAGCAGTTGGTCTACAGCTGAGCGTTGATGGATATCGATGGGGCATATCTTCCAGGGTGGGAACCTCTACGTGTCCCCCCAAAACCGTACAGTGTCTCTGTCCAACTGGCCTCGAGCCCACATCCTGTAGGTGGTTGAATCACCCTCGTGTGCGTCGTGCCGGCCGCTGGCAGCCCCCAGAGGGTCTGGGGCGAGAGCGAGAGCGGGGGCTGGGCCGGGGTCGGGACCTAGAGGGAGGCCGGGGGTGCGGCACTCTTCGCTGGGGGTCCATCTCGTCTTCCAGGACTTTACTGCCGGGAAGGAAGAGGGGCCGTTGAGCACCTGGCCCTCCGACTCCTGAGACCTCCCAGCACTCTTCCTCCTTTCCTGGGAACCCCATCCCTCAGGATCTATCCTTTCTTTACTCCTGGCCATTCCCAGGACCCCTCCCCAGGGACTCCTAGGCCCTTCCCTGGAAGCTCAGCTCCAGATTCCCGGCCCTTCCCTCGATGTTTCTTTTTCTTTGCACCCTTCCATCCCCCTCCCAGAGCTCCCCATGTGCGCCTGACCCTAAGAACCCATGCCTTCAGAGTGCCGGCCCCAACCTGGGGACTCCCTCTTCCAGAGTGCGAAACCCGCTCACCGTCTCCAGGTTCTAACTCCAGGACCCTCGCTTGGATCCTCCCCTCAGTCCCTCCCCAAGGCCCCGCCCCTCCTCCCCCCCTTACTCACACACGCTCCCGAAGCACCGCCTCCCGGGCCGCGCAGGCTCCCCCCTCGGCCTCGGCCGCGCGTGCGCGCCGCTGCTCCTCTTCCAGCAGCCGCGTAGACTCAGTGGCCGCTGCCTCCCACCGCGCCAGGGCTTCTGCGGGCGCAGCGGGCGCGGTCAGGCTGGAGATCAGACTCCAAACCCCGCGCGTGCCGGCGTCGGAGTTTATAGTCTGCCTACTATTTGCGTGCTTTGCTTTATTTGAATTAAATGTGTGTGCTGTTTACATGGCCTTTACGTGTCATTTGCATAGTTTTCATTGCTTTTGAAAGTCGTTTACATGGCGTTTGTACATTTTGTGGCATTTGCGTTTTTGTGACCTTTACATGTTATGTGCATTTCTTTAATAAGTTCTCGCGTTCATTTGCATGTCGTTTGTATTATGTTTGCACCGGTGCCTGTTATTTGCGTAGCTAGGAACCTTCTAGGTTCCTCCCACCTTTAGCCCTGTCCAACACGCTTACGCCCCAACACACCTGTCAGCGCCCCGTTCTCGACCCCCATCTGAGTCCCCTGTGCCTTGGCCTCGTCCATCTCAGTCTTCAGTGTCATCAGATGGGTCTGAAGCCGGCTCTGCGGAGTGGAAGGGAAGTGAGGGGGGATCCTGGGAGGGGCAGAAGGAGTGAATTGGCCCTGCTCTTTCTAGGGGAGACTGACATGACACTGGTGTTCCCTGAGCTTTGTTGGAATGTCCTTTGAGGTCCTGTAGTTGTGAAACACAGAAATGGCTGCTGGAGTCTGGGGTACCGCGTGGTGACAGCTACCTGCCTAGAAAGAGGTCTCTGCCTAGGTCTACGGCCCCCCAACCCCAAGCCATGGGGATGTGGAAAGGGTTTAGCTCTGCAGTCAGACTGCGGTTCCAATCTCAGCTACATCTAGACTTGCTGACTGGGGTTTAAAACCAACACAAGTCCATTTGGTTGTTGGCAGTGATTGGGTTTGTGGGTTGTTTGTCACCTCTGGGAGAGATTCTGCAAAGCAACTAGCCTGGCCTCAGAGCATCCTCCATTAGAAGGCAAATCAGGATTTGAACCAAGGGCAGGCTGCTCTTAACTTTGGCTGTTCCAGGCCCTTCCCTTAGGTAAGCAAGAAGTGGGTAAGGGGTCTGCTTTAGTTTTTATTTTTATTTTTTATCCTCACCCGAGGACATTCTTCCATTTTCTACTCAGATAGAGTGGGAAGGAGAGAGAGGAAGAGAGAGAAACATCGATGTGAAAGGGACACATCGAGTGGCCGCCACCCACACGACCCAACCAGGGCCGGGGACAAACTGCAGCCAAGGTACATGCCCTTAGCGGGAACCGAACCCGGGTCTCTGTGGACCGCAGGCTGACGCTCTAACTGCTGAGCCAAACCGGCCAGGGCTGCTTTAGTTTTTAAAACTCACATGCTGCCCTGGCCAATTTGGCTCAGCAGTTAGAGCAATAGCCCACAGACCAGAGAATCCGGGGTTCAGTTCCCACTAAGGGCAGGTACCTTGGTTGCAGTTTGTCCCCAGCCCCAGTTGGGGTCGTGTGGTTGGCAACCACTCGATGTGTCTCTCTCACATCGATGTTTCTCTCTCTCTCTCTCTTCCCGCCTCTCTCCCTCCTACTCTATCTGAAGATAAATGCAAAATTTTCCTTGGGTGACGAGGATAAAAAAACAAAACAAAAAAACCCACAAAAACTCACATGCTGCCCAACCTCTGCTGGGACCAGTACACAGAAGTACACAGTAGTTAATAAACATGAATGGTTGGGACTTTGAGGATGGTTCTTCTGTGAGGCCTAGGGCTGGGAAGGGTTAAGAAAGTATTTGAGACTTCTAAAAATTCTGCTGCCTTGTGTGCTTCTTCTCCAGCTCTCTAAACATACTCTTTTATTTCTCTGGCTCCTCTTCACCTTCTCTCCCACTCCCACAAAGTTCTAGCCTAAGTCCTCCTCTCTCTGTAAGTTCATCCCTTTCACATTTGCACGGCTCTGTCAGTTCTGTATCTCCCACATGCTTCATCTCCTCCAATGTTCCAGGTCCATATTTGAAATTTTTTACCAAGGACGCCACTTGAAGCCCTCTGGCACTACAACCTAAGTGGATCTGGATCTTAATCCCTCTTCCCTTCATTAAAACAAATGATTCAAAACCTGGAAACAAGGTGACGGGATTATGAGTGCGGTTTCTTTGCGCCCTGCGGTGCGAGAGCAGTGGTTCTCAAAGTGCGGTCCTGGACCAGCAGCACCAGCCGCACTTGGGAACTTGTTAGAAACGCAAATTCTCAGGTCCTACCCGAGATCTACTGAGTCGGAAACTCTGGGGGTAAGGTCCAGAAATCTATGCTTTCACAAGCCCTCCATGTGATTCTGATGATCAAACAAACCAGATCTTAAGTTTTACCCCCACAGCCTTTTGTGGAGCTGTTCCCTCTGTTTCCATGACCAATGCCAGAGATTAAGCCCCTATCCCCTTTTTCCTGAATTTTTACAACAGCCCCCTACCTGGTTTTTTGTAATAAACTCAGTCTACACAGAGGCTGCTGGAAAAATATCCCCAAGACCTCAAAAAAAAAAAAAAAAAAAAAGTGAAGGAGGTGGCCAGAGGAAAAGGGAGGAACTGGCTGGTACCTCCTCCAAGAAGCCAACTTTAGCCTCCTAATTACAGGTGACATGAATGTCCTTTTCCCGAAATAGGGCTGGGACACTGGCTGTAGGAGGTGGGCACCTGGGGGAAAGGATAAAAGGTTTTCCCCAGGTGGGCTCAGGGGTCTGGGGCTTCTCTATCCACCACTGTTTACCTGGCAAATAGCAGAGGACAGTGGGGCCTTCTAGATCAGAGGGTGTGCTCAAGGGTGAACGGACATTGCAGGAGTTGGGGTTATGATGCTGTTTTCATTCCCACTGAAGAACTAGGGAAACTGCCCAGGCTCAGTGAAGCTCAGGAGGCTGACCGTCCTCTGGCACACTGAAGGGTTGCCAGTCCTACCCGAGGGGGCACATGCCTGGGTTGGGGGCTCAATCTCCAGTAGGGGGCAAGCAGGAGGCAGCCAATGGATCTTCTGCTCTCACATCCTCTCTCTAAAAATCAATTAAAAAGTATTTTTTTTTAGAAAAAAATTTTTTTGGGTTAATCCTCACTTGAGGATATTTTTCCATTGGTTTTTAGATAGACTGGAAAGGAGGGGAGAGGGAGAGAGAGAGAGGGAAAGAAACATCAATGTTTCTCTCACATCGATTGGTTGCCTCTCACACGACCTGGGATCCAATCTGCAACCCAGGTATGTGCCCTTGACCAGTAGTAGAGCGGGACCCTTCCATCCCTAGGCTGATGCTCTAACCTCTGAGCCAAGCCGGCCAGGACTAAAAATTAAAATAAAATAAAAAGAATTGGGGAAACCAAGGCACAGGGTTGGGGGTGGGGAAATCCCTGTGTGCCTGTGTGTGCAGCACCTCCCACTTTTTGGATGCCCCAGCCCCCAACACTGCCGACATACCTGGTGGCCCTCACAGGCCCTTAGAGCCTCCTCCAGCTCCCGATGGACACCCTTGGCCTGGTCCAGCTGCTTGGCCAGAGCTTCCTCTCGTTGAGCAGCCTCTGCCAACTGTCGCTGCAACTCCTGGAGCTCCCACAAAGGGTTCCCGGGGGGCACCGTGGCATTGACTCTGGGCTCCAGCTCAGGGCAGTGAGACCCTCTGGAGGCCGCGGCGGCCAGATTCCAGGCCAGTAGGGCTGCCCCCGCCGCAGCTGCCGCCAGGAACACCGCAGCCCCACACAGGGCAAGCACCCGCCAAGCGTACCCCGGCTCTGGCCCCAGCTCAGCCATGCCGCCATCCACAGCTCTGGCCTCAGACGTCCACAAGCATTTAATTGGCACCTTGGGACGCCAGGGACATCCACGGGTCCGCCCAGCCAGGGTGTGTTTCCCGTCTTTGGGAGGGGCTGGCTGCCCACCAGGGGCCAGGCTAGGCTACTGGAGCCCAGGATAGGACTGGATCCTGAGTTCCAGTCCTGCCTCTGCCTTCTGCATGCTGTCCTCTGAGCCTCAGTTTGCCCCTTTGTGAAGTGGGGATGATAGTAGGTCCTTAGGGCTTAGTGACAATCACATGAGCACATCCAGGCAAAGCACCCTTCAGCACAGGGGACTTGGTGAGGGGCTAAGGGCATATTGTCTCCATTCTGTTCATGGGGAAAACCGAGGTTGGAAGACTAAAGACTACTCCGACTGAAGTTGGTCTAAGTCAGAATATCACACTTTTATTTTTTTGCATCCGCACCCGAGGAGATTTTTCCATTTTTTGTTCAGATAGAGTGGGAGAGAGAGAGAGGAAGAGAGAGAGAGAGAAACATCGACGTAAAAGGGACACATTAAGTGGTTGCCACCCGCACAACCCAACCAGGGCCAGGGACAAACTGAAACCAAGATACATGCCCTTAGCGGGAACTGAACCTAGGTCTCTCTGGACCGCAGGCCGATGCTCTAACTGCTGAGCCAAACCGGCCAGGGCAGAATATCACACTTTTAAAAAATATATTTTTCTTTATTGATTTTAGAGAGAGAGAGGAAGGAGAGGGAGAAAGAGATAGAAACATTGATGAGAGAGAACACTGATTGGCTGCCTCCTGCATGCCCCCCACTGGGGATTGGCCTGCAACCTGGGCATGTGCCCTGACAGAGAATCGAACCGAGGCCTCTTGGTGCATGAGTTGATGCTCAACCCCTGAGCCACCCTGGCCAGGCAGGCTGTCACACTTTCTGTGACCAACTCTGAGGGCAAAGGGTAGACTCAAGGGTGGACCAGCCCCATCTCTCTGACTGTTCTTCACTGGATCACCAGGGGGCGATCTTGCAACATGAATCAGATCCAGGCCAGTTTACAACATCCTTCTCAGAATCAAATCTCCTCCTCCTCTGCCCTGCCCCCTTCATCTCCTCCTGGACGTCTTTCTTTTTTTTCCTTCCTCCATTTAAAACAAAAATGTGGTTTTTATTGATTTTTTAGAAAGAGAGGAAGGGAGAGAAACATCGTTGTGAGAGAGATACATCAATCGTCTGCCTTCTGCATGCACCCTACTGGGGTTCAAGCCCCAAACCCAGGCATGTACACTGACTGGAAATCAAACCAGGACCTCTCAGTCCATGGGACGACGCTCAACCCACTGAGCCACACTGGCATTTTTATCTCCTTTTCCACCTCCTCCTACTTCCCCCTCTTTCTTTGACCCCCCACTTTGCCTCACCCTCTACCCTTTGCCCCTTCCTAATGTGTCACTCTCGTCCCCCTCCTCTTTCTTCTTCCCCTGCAAGACCTCTAGCTCACCTTTGACATTCTTTCCTTCTCCTAGGCACCCTCCAGCCCTCCTCAATCTTTTCTGGCAAGCGCCTTCCCACCCCAGGGCCTTTGCATTGGCTGTTCCCTCTGCCAGAGGGCCCTTATCTCCCTCTGTGACCAACTGTCCCCCATCCTTCATCCATGGATGTATCTCCCCTTCCAGAACTCTTCCCTCTCCCACTACCTGAGGCTCCTTTTGATCAGCTCTCTCAGGTCTGCTGTACTTTTCCATGGTGTTTGACTGATTCCCAGCTGCCTCCCATATCAGACAGGGTGAATGCCTAAAGAGCAAAACTCAGCCGGGCTGGTGTGGCTCAGTGGTTGAACATGGACCATACACCAAGAGGTCGTTGGTTTGATTCCCAGTCAGGGCACATGCCCAGGTTGTGGGCCAAATCCCCTATGGGAGGCATGCAGGAGGAGGCCAATTGATGTTCAATCTCATCGATGTTACTATCTCTCTCTCCCTCTCCCTTCCTCTGTTTCTAAAATCAATAAAGGAAAAAAAAGTAAAGCTCACGTCTGCCCGGTTCCCACTGCCCCGGCCTGGGCCTGGTACACAGTAGTTGTGCAGGAAATGTGAGCTGAGTAAACACTGTGAACTAGAATCTCAGTGTCCTCACCACCCCCAACCCCCCTACTCCCATCCCTCTTATTCCATGTGAAGAAATCAAAGCCCAGAGAGGCTAAGTCTCAGGCCAGAGACACACAGCAGCCATGTGTCACTTCCAGATTCCTGCTGGAGTTGGAACCTCTACAGACCTGCAGTACATGAGTCCTGACTTCTCAACCCCTGGCTCACTTGGCCACAGGTAGAAAGGGAAGTGGGGCAGTTTTAGGAAGGAGAAAGGTTTATAACTGGGCATTGTGTGAGAGTTTAGGAGGAGAAATTGAGGTCAAAGTTATCTTATTGGGCAAACCTAACCCCCTTCATCAGTAAAACACAACCCAGGCCTGGGGGCTGGCAACACTGTTGTGGAACATTCTGGTAGCCCAAGCTGGGGGTAGGAGTGGAACATGGTGGGGAGGAAGTACTGAGGTCATGTGGTCCTGTGGGAAGGGTTTGCTTCCTGAAAATCAAGGGTTCAATTACCTGAGCAGCTCAGAACCCTGAGCAAGTCCAGAAACTTCTCTGGACCTGCTTTTTTATTTATTAGATGGGGTTGTTGGTGGGGAGTAAAATGACTGTCACAGTAAAGAGACTTCATAATCTCCTACTGAACTCTCCTGCCAGCTGGGGAACAGAAGTGGGGGGGCACCCCAGGCTCACCCTCTAGAGCATAGGTTCTCACTGGATGTAATTCTGACTCCCCAGGGACACTTAATAATAATATCTGATGGCATTTTTTGTTGTCACAACCTGGGGGTAGGAGGCTATGGCACCTAGTGGGTGGAGGCCAGGGGTATGGCACAACATCCTACACATCCAGGGCAGACCCCACCACAGAGAGCACTCTAGCCCAAATGTCAACAGTGGGGAGGTTGAGGAACCTTGTCCTAGATTGTCAGAGTGAGGCAGGAAGGACACTGACAAGGCCCATGCACAGAGAAATGGTCTGGAAGGGTCGAGTGGTGAGCAAGGGGAAGGAAGGGGACAAGAGAGCCAGGGGGGCCTGTGGAAGGGATGGTGTTTGGGGGTCCCTGGGTGGACAGCAGGAGCCATAGAGGGGAGTCTATTGACTATCTGGTCTGGGACTGCAGGACCTGAGGGCAGTGCAGAATTTCAGGCAGACACAAGGGTCCTGACCCTAGTGCCATGCACAGGAAGTTGCCTGGACAATAGTCGGGATTCCAGGAGAACTTGGAGGAAGGAAGATAACAGAAAAGGAAGGAACTATGGGACATGGAAGGATCCAAGAGAGTGGGTGAAGGGTCAATCAGAATGGTGGCCTTCCATTTTAGAGAAGCAGAGACTCTCTGGAAGTGGGGTTCTGCAGAATGAATGAGTTGGGGGGATGGGCCCTGGCCGGTTTGGCTCAGCGGTTAGAGTGAGTGTTGGTCCACGAACCAAAGAGTGGAGAACCACCCTGGTTCGTCCCCAGCCCTGGTCGGGGTCATGCGGGAGGCAACCAGTCGATGTGTTGCTTTTACTTCGATGTTTCTCTCTCTCTTTCTTTCCCTCTCTCTCCCTCCCACTCTATCTGAAGATAAATAGAAAAATATCCTCTGGTGAGGATTTAAAAAAAAAAGAGTTAGGGGGATAAAGAGGAGGGTAGATTGTGACAAAGGCCTGGCCTGGATATGTCTGCAGACCCAGGTTTAAATTCCAGCCCTGCATTTTCTTTCTATCTTTAAAATAAAAAAAATATTTTCTTTATTGATTTTAGAGAGAGATAGAAACATCAATGAGAGAGAACATCGATTGACCACCTCCTGCATGCTCCCCACTGGGATTGGGCTCACAACCTGGGCATGTGCCCTGACCGGGAATCAAACCAGCAGCCTCTTGATGCATGGGTCGATGCTCAACCACTGAGCCACACTGACCAAACTAATTTTTAATTTTTAATGGATTTTTAGAGAGGGAGGGAGGAAGAGAGAGAGAGAGAGAGAGAGAGAGAGAGAGAGAGAGAGAGAGAAATACTGATGGATGTGAGAGGGAAACATTGATTGGCTGCCTCCTGCCCTGACCAGGAATTGAACCTGCAACTTTTCAGTGCATGGGATGATGCCCAACCAGCTGAGCCACACAGGCCCTCAGGGCCAGCCCCACACTTGCCATGGGAGGGTATTGAGAACCAGGATAAGGAGTCCTTCGTGTCACAGCCTCCATTTCTTCATCGGAACCATGAGCACGAGGAGATCGGTGAGGAGATACTAGAATGCTGAGCACATAGTGGGCACTGATGGAGGTACAATCCTTCAAGATGATCCCAGTGGAGAAGAGGGCTGAGTAGGCAGTGGGGTGGTACTTGACCAAACCCTGTGGTTTTCTGGAAACATTTTAGAGCAAGGAGGCCTGGGTGTAGATGTTAATGGGTCCCAGACACTTTAGAGTGACACAGTGATACTCCATGAACTTCAAAGTTCTTTCTCCCCAAAAGGGACATTTATTAGAACTCAAAGATCCCCAAAATGACTGTCCCTCAGAAACTGATAGCAAAAATAAAAGATGCTACCCCACTCCATGACCTGCCCAGCTTGGGGGTGAAGGGGGGCAGCCTTGGAGCAACTCTGATGCTTCTGCACTCCCAAGGCTACCGCATGAACCCCCTGCCCCCTGGCCCCCTTGCCCTCCCCACAACCATCCCCTCCTCCCAACCATGAACCACCCCCTGCCCCCTGGCCCCCTTGCCCTCCCCACAACCATCCCCTCCCCGCAACCATGCTGCTAGGCTGCTCAGAACTGGCCAGGTCAGGGAAGCCAGAAGAAAACAGACGAGTCCAGGTTGTGGCCTAAAAGACAGTAAGGGGAACTCAGGGCAGAGTTGAGGTGGATAGAACACAGGCCCTGCCCCTCCATAAGCCTTGCCCCGCTCCTGGACCCCTCCCTCCTCAATGAGGTTCCTCTCTCTCCCTCCCAAAGACCCATCTCCTCAGCGCCCAGCCCACCACCCCGCAGGCAGGCCACCACCCCAGGCCTTAACTGTCCCTGACTCCCTCCCATCCCTCTCCAGCTCCCCCTCCTTACCCGCTGGCTTCCTGGGACCTCAGGCCAGCAGAGCCTGGAGGCTCACGGCCAGGAGTAAAGTGATCACACAGCGGCTGAGGATGTTTCCAGAGCTGGTGGAGCTGTTTTCCCCTCCTGAGGCCTCATTTTCTTTTCTAGGGTGAAGATGGGGACAACTCAGGCAGTTGCCAGGCATGGCCCACTAGTGTGGGGCTCGTCATCCCTCAGAACCTCTTCTCCTTCCCCACCAGGTCACTGGGGAGGAGAGTGAGCAGCTGCTACCCATGGTTGGGTGAGGGAATGCCACTTTGTCCCCAGAGCAATGGGAATTTGAAACCTAGGGGATCCTGGGTCATGGGGTTGGGCTGCAGGGACAGGGGTGGGGTGGGGTAGACGGGGTGTGGCTGGGGGTTTGTGTCCCAACCTTAGTTCCTGATCCAGGGATGTCTTCAGCTTCTGCTTCAATTCTTTGATCTCCTCTAGGGAGGGACAGAGAGTGTGTCAGCACCATAGCCACGCCGCTCAACTGGTCTGGGGAGAGGACCCCACCTCTGGCCCCACCCTCCTTGGAGCACACCTGGAAAACTTGGCATGCCCCCTTCCTACCTCCACTGGAGTCTGTCCTGTCCCTCTTCTGAATCCAACCCTGGGACCCTCTCTCCTCCCTCTTCTTCAATGCCTGACCTGCTTCTCCAAGTCCCCTTAATGTAACCCTGGGCCTTGTGTTTTTCTCACCTTGAAGCTTCTGCACTAGCTCCTGTTGCTTGCGGCTCTGAGCCTTCTCCGTCTCCAGGGAAGCCATCAGGGTTGCCTGGGATGCAGTGGAAGGGTGAGGGTGTTGGAAATGGGTTCTGTCTTTGGCAAGGTTGGCTGGGGTCCCTGGGCCCTGACCCCTCCCCAGGCGCTGGTGTCAGAGGGGTTCAAGTCCAAACTCCATCCAGGGTTCCCTCCAGTCCTCTTTGAACCTCTCTCACCTTGGAAAATGACCACAACTTTCCATCCTCCCAGGGCCACTGATAAGGGTGTGATCGTCAAAATGGGAATTTCAAGCCCTCCCCATAGCAATTTGGAGGCTCTCCATGCCCAAACCCTAGGAGAAATTTCCAGATTTCTTGGGCTATTGTGCAAGGAGATTTAGAGGTCCCCTCTAATCTAGAACACAGCGAGATTTCTGAACCCAAGTTAGATGTCCAGTGGGAGTTTCAAGGACCTCCATGTCAAGACCCAAGTGACAGTTTCAGCCTCTTAGGGATGCAGTGGAAATATCAAGAGCCTCTGCCTTGCCCTGGTCAGGTAGCTCAGTTGGTTAGAACATCATTCTGATACACCAAGGTTGTGGGTTCAATCCCTGGTCAGGGCACATACTAAGAATCAAGCAATGAATATAAGTGGAACAACAAATCAGTCTCTGTCTCTCTCTGTCTCTCTGTCTCCCTCTCTCTCTCTCCCTCCTTCCCCCATCCTATCTCTAAAGTCAATAAATAAAAACAAAAATAGATAAATAAAAACTTTAAAAAATTAAAAGGAGCCCTTGCCTTCTTCAAGATGTGGTGAGGTCCCCATCCTCACACCCAGAGGGGATTTCTGCTTCTCCAAGATTGTGCCCAGGGGGAGTTTCTAGCTCCTCCAGACCAATATCCTGGAGTCTGGAGATTCATCTGCATGTTAGTGAGGATACTGAGGCCCCTTATTTGGGTGCTCTGGGGAATTTAAGGCCCTGCCCCACACCAGCACCCCAGAAGAGTTTAGAGCTTCCCAAAACCCTGGTGGGGAAATTCAGGTTCCTGATATCGGGGCCCAGGGGCAGTCTCAAGGTCGATCTCAATCTCTACCTAGACCCTGGGCATCCCCAGGCACCTAGACCCTGGGAGTCCTCCCAAGCACAGGGCCCTCTCTAGGAGTGGCAATGGCTTACCACAGTCTGGTTGCAAGCAGCAGCCTGGGCCTCAGTCTCCAGTAAGACATCCTGGGCTCGGGTCAGCTGGTGCTCCAGGAGGTGGGTGCGGTTTCGACACTCCTGCTCAGCAACGAGGCCATTCTTGCAAGCGGTGCTGTTGAGCTTGACAGCCAAGACGATCACGCTCACTAACATACCCACCGATAGGAGCACTAGGAACACTACTAGCCACCGGTGGTGCTGCACCCCCTTCTCTGAGCACTGGTCCATGGATAGAGGCCTATAGTGGTAAAAAGTGGGAGCCATGTAGTGAGGTATAGGGAGCTTAGTTGAGATTCAGGAAAGGAAGCTGGAACCTTGTATTGTTTGGATCTGCCCCCTTATTAGCATAGGAGCCTTGCTGACCAATGAAAAGTTCCAAAGATGTCCCCGACTTAGAGATTTTTGAGTGGGGGATTTGCAGGAAGAGGACAGTTTCACTTTCCATTTCAGTTTCCCAGAAATGATGTGCGTTGTTACGGCCAAATTATGGCCTTGGCCTTTCTGGGCTGGGTGCTGCCCATGACTCCTGTGGGAGGGGAGACCCCATCGTGACTCCCTGCCCTTCTCCTGTGTTCCTGAGGGTGACCATTGCAGTTACTGAAAGCCTAGGGCATGCCGGCCTTGTGTTCCTGTGTACTGGGACCTGAAGAGGAGGAGCTGTCATTGGTCCAGTCCCCAGCTGGAGAAATTGAGGCTGAGAGGTGAGTGGTGGAATGGAGGTTGGCAGGGCCAGGGTCTGACCAAAAGATTGGGTTTTGTGTCCAGCAGTCTCCGTAGTGACCCAGCAGGAATTCACTTAGCATTCCTGCTGTTGTCTCAGAGGAGACCATAGGGAGCCATGGAAGGTAGCAGAGGAGGGACATTCTTCTACCTGGACCCCTTAAAGCCAAATGACAAGGGATGGGAGACAATCTTGCTAAAGAGTCCTAGAGGAGCTTGCGTGTCCCATGAGCAGGACCCCAGGTGCAAAACACAGCCTTGGGTAAAGCTGACTTACTTGAGCAGCACTGTGCTGGCCTTCAAACTTTAGGGCCAACTTGGGACCACAACTGTGGGTCAGAGGCCAAGGCTGTGTGTGAACAGCCCTGCCTCCCTGTGGGACTCTGGGCAAGCAATTTCCCCTCGGCCTCACTTTCCATAGCTGTAAAATGGGGATAATAATAATAAGAACAGCCCTGGCTAGTTTGACTCAGCACTTAGAGCATCGGCCGGAGGACCAACGAGTTGTGGGTTTGATTCCGGTCAAGGGGACGTACCTCAGTTGCGGTTTGTCCCCGGCCCTCGGGTTGTGCAGGAGGCAACCAGTCGATGTGGCTCTATCACATTGATGTTTCTCTCTGTCTGTCTGTCTCTCCCTCCCTCCCACTCTATCTGATGATAAATAGAAAAGTATCCTTGGGTGAGGAATAAAAAAATAAATAAAAATAACAAGATCATTTTCATGCCTCCCTAAATTTTCCAAGGTGGCGGTGACTCACCTTGCTCTAGTCCAGGCCCTGCAAACAGAAGGTGTGTGGTATTTCCCTCTAAAACAGTTATACCACCATTCTTCTGGGTTTCACTCAGGTTAAGGTCCAAGCACTTGTGACAAAGCTTGATTGGGAGCTAAGAGGTAGAATCTCTGGGAATGTGATGAGAACGAAGAGGAGGGTGTTGTGATCATTGATGATGCAGCCATGCCACTGAAACTCCTTAATAATAAGAAAAGCAAAAAAAAAAAAAGCAGTGTGCGGTGGAAAAATACCTTTTCCTTCCACCTTTCTAAATTTTTCTAGTTAACTTGAGACAGATTAACAGGAGAAAACCAACTTTATTACATATGACTTATTTTTTTACCTATGACAACTTTTTTACATACTTATATTGTGCCATAAGAATATAAGACCCTGGGACAGATTGGACATTTGAGACATAGGTGCCATCTGGAGTTAAGGAGAAGGGGGAGTTGTTATGAGAAGGCAAGCCAGACACAGACAATCCCCTTATCTCACAGTGCAGAGACCCCTGCCCCTGGCTCTTGTGCCCCTTACATCCAAATCCGCCAACTGCCTAAACTACAGCGGAACTAGAAGCCCCCAAACACCCAGAGGCTTATGTATAAAAGGGGCTGGAACCTGGGTGAGGGGCTCAGCCTTTGGCGGTGACTCCGCTGGGCCAGCACCAGTGCGCATTCAAGAGCCCTTTTCTAATCCTCTGAGTGGGTTGCAGTCTGTCTCTTCCTGCTGATTGAATTTCTGCTACAACAGTTTGGGACTTGAAAGGGGAGGAAGGCAGTTCACACATGAGCAAATGTTTGGTAAACAAATGTTTGCTGCGCCATCTGTAACAATGGGACTTTGATCTTTTCACCCATTGGATTCCTGGACAGGGCACGTGCCTGGGTTGCCCACTTGATCTCCAGTAGGGAGCCTGCAGAAGGCAGATGATCAATGTTTCTATCTCTCTCCCCCTCTCCCTTTTCTCTCTAAAATCAATAAAAACATATATATATATATTTTTTTTTATTTATATTTTTAATCCTCACCCGAGGATATTTTCCCATTTATCTTCAGATAGAGTGGGAGGGAGGAAGGGGGAGAAAGAGAGAGAGAGAGAGAGAGAGAGAGAGGGAGAGAGAGGGAAATATTGATGTGAGAGAGACACATTGACTGATTGCCTCCTGCACGACCCCATTCAGGGCCAGGGACCAACCGCAACTGAGGTACGTGCTCTTGACTGGAATCGAACCCGAGACTCTTTGGCTCGTGGGCTGATGCTCTAACCACTGGGAAAACCAGCCAGGGTGTGTGTGTGTGTGTGTGTGTGTGTGTGTGTGTATTTTTTAAAGGGCCTTGCTAGTTTCCTTTCTGTCTATCACACCTAGTTCATATTAAACTATAGTTATCTGTGATGATCTCACCCTTCCGGGAGCTGGTCCTCTTCTAAATTCCTTTTAGGCAGTTAGGGGGAAGGACAAAGCCTTTTCCTGAGTCTTTCTTTTTTTCTTTCCTTTTTTTCCTTTTTTCCTTCCTTCCTTCCTTCCTTCCTTCCTTCCTTCCTTCCTTCCTTCCTTCTTTTTTTAAATTGATTTTAGAGAGACAGGAAGGGAGAGGGAGAGAGAGATAGAAATATCGATGAGAGAGAACATTGATTGGCCGCCTCCTGCATGCCCCCCACTGGGGATTTGGCCCACAACCTGGGCACGTGCCCTGACTGGGAATCGAACCGACAACCTCTTGATACATGGGTCGATGCTCAACCACTGACCCACACCGGCGGGGCGAGTCTTTTGTTTCTTTAAAATAACCAGCTTAAAATAATTAATATCTCCAAAGGCATATTTTGCAGTGGCGAACTCTGCTCCCCTCAACAGTAACAACAACCCCAGCTGACAGGGCAGTCGGGGATTCAGAAAATGTTTGTGATAAGAGAACATACTCCCGCCTAGCTTATTGATATAGCAGCCAGCTTCCTGCAAAAGGCCAAGGGAAGTATGCAGGTGTGGTTAGTGCGGCTATGGGATATGTGGGGTGAGGCCTTTTCTCTGACCTGCAGGCGGCAGAGAGAATGGACAATGTTACCACACACCCTGCCCTCTGACAGCGCCTGCGTGGTGCTCAGGGGATTTAAGGTTCTCACTTCCTTCCAGATGGGATCATTTTATTCTGCTGGGAGGCTTGGCCCAATAAGGGGATCTTCCCTGGGCATGTGGTATAACAGAATGAAATGCTCTCTCTAACTCTTATTTCTAATCTGCATTTTTCCCATGGCCTTCAGGTGAATTCCTGCTATAGGTATGTTAATTATTAGAAAAAGTCTGAGGCTTGAACTTTTGGCAAAGATTTGCAGGAGCCTCAAGACCTAACCAGATCAGCAAAGGTCAATGGAGAACTGGGGAACAAAGAGATTTAGAGAATTCTGTGCTCTTCCTTGGATCCCTGTTGGAGCCTACATGCCACACACCTCTTGCCTATTCTCCCTTCCTTGACATAAAAAACAAACAAACCTGAATTCTGGGCTCTCTTAAGATGACTTTGTGGGAGCTTTAAGGCCCCCCTCTCTCAAGCTGGTGCCTTCTTGATCAATAAACCTTTTCTTACTCCAAACTCTGATGTTTTGAATATTGGCCTTTTTTTTGAAGCATCAAAAAAAAGCACACAAACCTTGACTCGGTAACCGTGGGACCATAGAAATCAATAGAGGAGGGCCCTGGCCGGTTTGGCTCAGCAGTTAGAGCATCCGCCTGCGGTCCGGAGAGACCTGGGTTCGGTTCCCGCTAAGGGCATGTACCTCGGTTGCAGTTTGTCCCCGGCCCTGGTTGGTCGTGCGGGTGGCAGCCACTCGATGTGTCCCTTTCACATCGATGTTTCCCTCTTTCTCTCTTCCTCTCCCTCCCTCCCACTCTGTCTGTACCAAAAATGGAAAAATGTCCTCGAATGAGGATTAAAAAAAAAAAAAAAAAAAAAAAAAAAAGAAATCAATAGAGGAGGAACAACACATTCTTAGGGAGCTGAGAATGATACAGGTCATCTACGCCTCTGTTTTTGAGGCCCTTGATCGGACCACATTCACTGAAGGAATGAAAATCAAGATACTTCAGTCTGCCACCAGCACCTGGTAAGGAATACAAATATCCACTCTGAGCCCAGTAATGTGACTGTTGGGAGAAAGCCCCAAAAGTCTAAATTCAGGATCAGTTCCAAAGAACTGACACATAGCTTTATTCATATTCATAAAAGCTTTTTTTTTCTTTATCCTCACCCAAGGATATTTTTCCATTAATCTTCAGATAGAGTGGAAGGGAGGGAGAGAGAGGGAAAGAGAAACATCGACATCGACAGGCTGCCTCGCACACAACCTCAACTAGGGCCAGGACGAACCGAAACCGAGGTATATGCCCTTGACTGGGATCAAACGTGAGACTCATTGGTCCTTGGGCCAACATTCTAACCACTGAGCCAAACCAGCCAGGGCCATAAGAGCTTTAATAGGAGAAACTTACATACAAGAGCACAACAGCTGTTTCATCCCAGTGGTGGCTGGTCAGGAATAAATCCATACTCCACCCAGGTCAGGATCCCCTTTTTTCTGTTTGTTAACCCTTACCTGAGGATATTTTATTCATTGATTTTTAGAGAGAGTGGAAGGAAGGGAGGGAGGGGGAGAGAGAGAGAGAAAAACATCGATGTGAAGAGAGACATAACCCGCACAACCCCAACTAGGGCCAGGGATCGAACTGCATCCGAGGTACATGCCCTTGACTGAAATTGAACCCACGACTCCTTGGTCCACGTCTGCCCACTTTTTAACACTTCAGTGCACAAACTTGAGAGAGTAATGTGTTGTTGAGACCTTTGGATGATATACGTGACTGAACCCAGGTAAGATCTCTATATAAACTTTTAAGATTCTGGCAGGCGGTATGAAGATCTACTCATCTTAGTGTCCAAGGCAAGCCTCATATATAAGTTCCCTTGCTTAACTGCTACCTAACAATCTGTAGTGGTCTGCCTCTTTTAGACATCTCTACTTGACTTCTGGGTATGGGGGCCAGTTTCAGATTTCACCAGGGGTACTACTGAGGTTTCAAACCAACATCCTTCCTAAAGTGGTGGAACTAATGGGGTAATTCAATGGGAACGCATGGTTTGTTCATTTCTGTATCTCATTGTTGGGTCACCTTTTCCAGGATGTTTCTTTCAGGCATTGACTTTTGAATTTCATATAGTTTTCACATGTTACTAAATATTCTTTTGATTTCTTGCCCAAAATCATTTACAAATATAAAAACCCTTCTTGCCCTGGCCAGGTAGTTCAGTTGGTTAAAGTGTTGTCTAGATATGCCAAGGTTATGGGTTCGATCCCTGGTCAGGGCACTTACAAGAATCAACCAAAGAATGCATAAAGTGGAACAATAAACTGATGTCTTACACTCTCTCTCTAAAAATCAATAATAAAAAAGAAAAACTTTTGTACTTAAAAAATACAGTCTTAGCTCACAGGTCATACAAAAACAGGCAATGGGGCAACCCATGATATTGTAAAAAACTGGAAAATATAGAAGAGTAGGTTATATTATGTTCTCCTAATTGTCCATATTTTCCCCCTGAGGGGTATAAAAACATGTTTCCATATTAAATACGTTTATATCTCATTTTTTAAAAAACCACTAATGGTGCCCAGCTGGTGGGGGTCAGTGGACTGAGTGTCCTCCCATGGACTGAGAGGTCCTGCTTTGATCCCCAGTCAGGGCACATCCCTGGGTTGTAGCTTTATCCCTAATAGGGGGTGTGCGGAGGCAGCCTAACAATGCTTCTATCTCTCTAAAATATCAATAAACACATATTAAAAACAAACAAGCCCTGACTGATTTGGCTCAGCGATAGAGCACCGGCCCATGGACCAAGGAGTCACGGGTTCTATTCTGGATAAGGGCGCAAACCTCAGTTGCGGTTTACCCCCCAGCCCTGGTCGGGTCCTGTGGGAGGCCACCAGTCCACGTGTCCCTCTCACGGGGATGGTTCTCTCTCTCTCTCAATTTCTGTCCCCCCCCCCCTCCCTCCCACTCTATCTGAAGATAAATAGAAAGAAAGAAAAAATCCTCAGGTGAAGATTAAAAAAACAAAAAAACTAATTGTATCTGTGAACAAGTACTCCAGTTATACCAAGTTTTCATGGCTATGGTTGTCCGTATTTTTCGTTACTTAAACTAACCCATTAAAGTTTCCTTGGCTTCCCAGAACTAGAATTATGGATTTTCCATATTTCTCCCTTAAATTTCCCGAGAAACCCAGAGAAGGTCTCCACAGATGCTCATAACGCAAGGACTTCTGGGGAACGTAGTTCTGGCTTGCAGCGAGCGAGGCTCCTGGCGCTGAGCCAGAACATTTCCAGAGGAAGTTGCTGGGCGGGAGAAGGAAGGGAGATAGTTTTCCGCAAACGTCTCCGTTCCCGGCGCACCACAGCGACGAATGGGGGCCTTCGCTCCGCGTCCCCACGCGATTGGCCCGCGGCTTTCCGAGCACCGGCAAGTAGTGCTTTACGAGCCTCGCCCTCGCAAGGCCATCTGGGAGTTGTAGTTCAGGCCCCTTCCTGAACTCGGCGGCCGGGCGGCGGCACCCAAGTCCGAGGCGGTCCACCGCCTTCGGCACTTGGCTTGGAGGATGGATCCCGGACCTGACGCGGCGCCGCTGGCTGGCCTGGCCTGGTCGTCGGCCTCGGCGCCCCCGCCGCGGGGATTCAGTGCGGTGAGCGGGATCGGGGGGTGGGGCAGGGGTTGAACGGGGGCAGGAACTGAACGGGGGCATTGGAGGCTGCGGCAGTGCAGGCGCCTGGCGCTGAACGACGTCTCGCCGTAGATCTCCTGCACTGTGGAGGGGACGCCCGCCAGCTTCGGTAAAAGCTTCGCACAGAAATCTGGCTACTTCCTGTGCTTCAGTACCTTGGGCAGCCTGGAGGTAAGAGGCGCTCCCTCCGGGAATCCCGGGATCCGCCCACTTCCCGCGTCCATTCGCCGGGCCCTACGCCAGGCGCGGCGTCCCCGCAGCTGGCTGACTCTGTTCTTCCCATCCAACCCCCAGAATCCGCAGGAGAACGTGGTGGTCGATATCCAAGTCCTGGTGGACAAGAGCCCCCTCCCGCCGGGCTTCTCCCCGGTCTGCGACCCCCTGGACTCCAGTGAGGCTGTGGGGAGGACCAGGGAGAGGGATGGAGGGATGACAGGCGCGCGATTTCTGAGCCTCGGTCACCCGCGCGATACACTGGGTGCTGACAGGGTTGGCTGAGGACTAGGAGCCTGTTCCAGGGCGGGGTAACGGGCCCTACCCTGAGTAAAAATGTGCAGTTGGTACAGTCTCTGTCCTAGAGTAACAACAGCGATCTATTTTATTACTGTTGCTGCTACATCTTCTTACACCGTAGCCAAGCTAAACCACACGCAGTTCTGTTTTTTTCATTTCCAGGCTTTTGCAAACTCCGATAACCAATACTTCACACTGCCCACTCCTCCTCCCACTCCTCCTCTTCTGGCCCTCAGAAGCCTTGGAGCTGACCTTCCAGCTCTGACCGCCCTGCTTTCTAACCGTCTGGCTCTCCTCGCCTCCCACCATGTCTTGTCATTTATATTTGATTCTCAGGGTATATCTACTGATACTGAAATTAGCAAACATTTTTTTAATATCTTTTTTTTTTTTTTGATCCTCACCCGAGGACATTTTTCCACTTTTTTTTTGTTAAGATAGAGTGGAAGGGAGAAAGAGGAAGAGAGAGAAACATCGATGTGAAAGGGACACATCGAGTGACTGCCACCGGCATGACCAGCCATGGCTGGGGACAAACTGCAACCGATACGTGCCCTTAGCGGGAACGGAACCAGGGTCTCTCTGGACCGCAGGCCGTCGCTCTAACCGCCGAGCCAAACCGGCCAGGGCAGAATTAGCAAACTTTTTATGTAAAGGGCCAGATAGCAAATATTTTAGGCCTTCCAGGCCAGGTGATGTCTGTTGCATAATCTCCCCCCCTTTCGCTCCCCCCCCCCCCAACCCTTTAAAAATGTAAAAACCCAATCAGAAAGAATATTGCCCTGGCGGGTTTGGCTCAGTGGTTAGAGCGTTGGCTGCGGTCCAGAGAGACCCGGGTTCAGTTCCCACTAAGGGCACACACCTCAGTTGCAGTTTGTCCCCGGCCCTGGTTGGTCGTGGGGGTGGCAGCAGCTTGATGTGTCCCTTTCACGTTAATGTTTCTCTCTCTCTCTCTCTCTTCCTCTCTCTCCCTCCCACTCTATCTGAACAAAAAATGGAAAAAAATGTCCTCGGGTGAGGATAAAAAAAATAAAAGCCCAATCAGAAAGAATATATGTACCCCTATGTTCGTAGCAGCACTACTCACAATAGCGAAGATCTGGAAACAGATGTCCATCAGTAGACGAATGGATAAAAAAGCTGTTGGTACATATACACAATGGAGTACTATGCAGCTGTAAGAAAGAAAGATCTCTTATCCTTTGAGATGACATGGAGGGACCTGGAAAGTATTATCCTAAGCGAAACAAGCCAAACAGAGAAAGACAAGTATCATATGATCTCACTTATTTGTGGAATATAATAAGCATAACAGTCTGAGGAATGGGGTAGTCCCAGAGACGTGGAAGTGGGGTACAGACTGACAATCCCCAGAATAGGGGGTGGTGGGGGAGAGATAAAGCACAGAACTTATATGCATGTATGCATGAACAATGGACATGGACAACAAAGCTGGGGACAGGGCAGGGAGGGGGGAATCAGTGGGGGGAAAAGGAGAAACATCTATAAAAAAATAAATTAATTTAAAATAAAATAAAATAACAATGTAAAAACCATTTGTAGGGAAACAGGTGTTGGGTGGGATTTGGCTCATGGGCACTCAGTTCTCTCTTAGTCCACAGCTACCCATTCTCACTGTGGTGCCCATGGTCACCCCATGAATGCTTCTTCATGTCACCAAAGATGAGCCTGCCCCAAAGGCTCCTAAAGGCTGCATGGAGTTCCCTAACACCATCCGGGTGACTGCCTTAAACAGTGCCTTGGTGACTATCGTCTTGGAGCCATCTTTTGGTCTCTTCATCTCCTAACCCCCCCACTCTCACCCCGCACCCCTAGAGGCCTCCATGTCCAAGAAGAAACGTCTCTGTGTGAAGTTGGTGCCCCTAGGAGCCGCAGATACAGCTGTGTTTGACATCCGGTTGAGCGGGAAGACCAAGACAGTGCCTGGATACCTTCGAGTAGGGTAGGGCTTTTTTTTTAATTGTAAGAAAATTTATTTAGAAAGTTGCAGAGATAGTAGAACGGCCCTTGGAACTTAGGAGAGGGAAAGGCAGAGGTAATGCACTTTGGGGGAAGAAGGCGAGGGAAAAGCATGGGCTTCCCCCCAGTATCTAGTCTCCTTCCTTGCCCTCCAACTCCCATTTGTTCACTTCTGACCCTCAGGGATGCCCCTGAGGCCTCCTGTCCCTTCTGCCACCTCTCTGTGCCTCAGTTTCTACATGTTAAAACAGGGACAGTTGTATTAGTCTTATAGGGTTGTCATGAGGAACAAATGTGTTGGTGTGTCTGAAGTACACAGCACAGTGATGGGACCCAGCAGTTGCTTATGATGTGGGCTGAGATGCTGAAAGGAAAATTCCCCAAAAGGGAGGGGTCACTCAGAGGTCCAGGTTCCTCCTTTCTTTTCCTGGCAGCTGTCCTCATCCCTGGCTATACCTTGGGTCAGAACCCTCTTTCTTCTTCTCTCCCCATCTAGGGACATGGGTGGCTTTGCCATCTGGTGCAAGAAGGCAAAGGCACCTCGGCCAGTGCCCAAGCCCAGAACTCTCAGCCGGGACATGCAGGGCCTCTCCTTAGACTCACCCAGCCAGCCCAGGTGAGTTCTTGGGCTTGGGCATGAGGTTGGTAATGATGGTCAGGCCTAACCTGAGCTGTCCCATCTCCACCAGCAAGGGCAGGTTCCCGGAGGGGACGATGTCAAGACTCGGCTCGCGGGCCTCCACCCTGAGGAGGAGTGACTCTATCTATGAGGCTTCCAACCTCTATGGCATCTCTGGTGAGTGCAGAGCGGAAACTGAGGGGTGGGGGTGGGGCACCACTGGCCAAAGATTTATACAGCCTGGAAGGGGCAGGGCCAAGGTTGGAACCAGGCCTGGCCCCACCCCATTCTGTAAAGTCTGGGCAGTCTGCCCTGGCCTATGTGGCTCAGTTGGTTAGAGCGTCCTCCCCTATACCAAAATGTTTCAGGTTCGATTAGGGTCAGGGCATATACCTAGGTTGCAGGTTCGATCCCCAGGTGTGGTGTGTATAGAAGGCAACTGATTGATGTTTTTCACATCCATGTTTCTCTTTCTCTCTCTCTCTCTCTCACTCTCTCTCCCTTCCTCTCTCTAAAATCAATAAACATATCCTCTGGTGAGGATGAAAAAAAAAAAAAAGACTTGGCTGGGGGGAGGGAGCATGCCAGGCTGGCCTTTGGGGTGGGGTGGGGGCAGCAGCCAGGCCCCAAGCCCCCTGCCCCTCAGCTCCTTACCCTCCACCCTGTGCTTTCCTCAGCCATGGATGGGGTTCCCTTCACGCTGCACCCCCGATTCGAGGGCAAGAGCTGTGGCCCTCTGGTGAGTCTGTGCCCCGGAGAGCTTGGGTCTGCTCCCACCCATTGCCTTTCTAGCATGGAAACACAGGGACCACCATCCATGTACCCAGCACCCCAGCACTGAGGCCCGTGTTTCTGGGTTGGGGAGGCTGAAGACCAAGTGGTGGGGGCTGGATGGCCTCTGTGTGGAATGCAGGAGTCAAGAGGGGCAATGGGTGTTGGTGGCTAGAGACTGTGGCAGGAAGAGGGAGGGGATATTCAAGTAGATATTGAGGGGGCCCTCCTTGAAGATGAGGGATTGGGGGTTCCAGGCAGGGGTCTAGGCCCAAGACTGACCTGCCCCTGCCCACCAGGCCTCTGCCTTTGCCGATCTGACCATCAAGTCGCTGGCGGACATTGAAGAGGAGGTAGGTTGCTGGGGTAGGGAGGAAGGGTGGAAGGGTACTGGGAGCCCCTCCCCAACCAGGCCACTTCAGTCTCCCCCAGCCATACACCACCTCTCCAGAGCTGGAGATCACTTAGTCCCTAAGTGGTCCCCCCATTCCTCATAGCACCCCCCACGACCTCTCTCTCACCCCCCAGTACAATTACGGCTTCGTGGTGGAGAAAACAGCAGCTGCGCGCCTGCCGCCCAGCGTGTCGTAGCCCCTTGCCTGTTCCAGGGAGGAGGCCCCTGGCCCACACCCCAGGACTGGCAGCTGGCCCACCCTAGCCCATGTTGGGGACCTTGGCAGAGCAGGGCATTCTGGACCCTCAGCCACCTGGAGAGCTGCCACCTGAAGTGGGTGGACCTGGCTGCTGGGTGATGGGGTCTCTTGCCCCAGGCCCTATAGGGCAGGGGTGGGGGCTAGATGTAAACCAGTGCCTTCAAGTCATTTGTGTCAAAACTTTCTGGTGCCCGGAGGCCACACTGCTGTCCTCTTGGCAATAAACACTATGCTGTCTGTTGTCTGGAGCCCTGATCCTGGCCTGGGAGTGGTTCATGGTCTTCACCTTGTGCAAGCTGGAGCAGCCACGCACCCAGCAAATGGGTGACATCCTGGAGGGGAGGTGGCCCTGCTGCTACTCCCTTCCACAGAATGGGAAACTGAGGCTCAGTGAGGCCTGATCCAGGATTCTAGATCACAAAGAAGACCTGGTCATGCTCTTCTATTTTTGAGTATAACAGTAATAATAGTAACAGCTATCATTAATCATGGGGACCATGTCCCTAACACCTTAGACAAAGTATCTCATTTAATCATGTCATAGCCAAGTAGGAAGACCATGTTTTGCTACCATTTTACAGATAGGGAAGCTGAGGCAGGGGACAGCTAAAGTCACAGCTGGGATTAGAACCCAGAGCCTGCTCTTGATCAGAAAACTGTTCTGTGCACCCTTTTCCTCTGCTGCAGTTTAGAGACAAATGGTTGACTCTCATTATTCACACTAGTTCCATTTTATAAAGTTGTGGCAAAAGTGGAATTAGTGAATACTGGATTCTTCTGGAAAACAGGTGGATTTCTACTAGTAGCTCTGGTCACATTTTTGTCAAGTGATTGATACATAACCTTATCTTGTGTGTGTTTCAAGAAACCTTGTTTATTATATACATACTGCTGATTTGTTAACATTGAACTCACTGCCAACAACTGTGTAACTGACACCTGAACAAAGCTAATGGAACACGCATATTCTCCAAAGGCACGTGGCAACCTTCTGGAGCTTAGGGACATCAGATAGCCCTTCAGCACCATGCTTGGGGGCCTTTTTAAATACGAAATGCCAAGGAAAAGCACAAAAAATGTGAAAGATAGACTGCAAAAAAGTCTTGTTTACAGTCAGTGAGCTGGAACCAGAAGGCAGAGTGTCACCTTGTTCCACCTCAGCTGGGAACATGTGCCTCCCAGGACTCGAATGTTTCCCTGCTCTGTGTATATCTTCCAATGACCACAAAAGCACCAGGAGTATTTTAATTTGGGGGTTACAAATAAATTTTAGCCTGTTAGAGAATTTGCAAATATGGAATCTACAAATAATAAGGGTTGATTGTATTTGTGAAATTAACTGCCCCAGGCCCACTGTCTTTCTGTCACGTGTGTGCTTCTCTCTTTTCTGCTCTCCCCTATATCCCTGTAGCATCAGGGTGGCTCAGGTTATGCTGCTGTCAGGAATGCCCCCAGATCTCTTTGGCTCAGAAAAGCTAAGGCTCATTTCTCATCCATGTCACATGCCCATGGCAGTGCAGCAGCAGACTCTGCTGGTCGTGCGGCAGCCACCATCTTCTTGCCCTGACAGTGGAGATGGGCTCAGGAAAGTGTTGCACTATCAGTTAGATGCCCTGGCTAGGAAGTACCTTGTTCAAGTTCTATTCACAGCTCGTTGGCCAGAATGGGTCCCATGGGACCTGAAGGGACAGACCAACCAACTGGACCCTTGGGTCTAACAATGTTGCCTCAGGAGTCTGAGGGGGGAACTGCCCTGCACAAAGGTGTGAGGGAAGAGGGTTCCTTAATCTGTAGTCTGAGGAAAATCAAAGTTCCACTTGAGGGGTCTGATAGGGGAGGCAAGCTTCTGCTCTTCAGTCTAAGGGAGGGGGCAAAGCCCTCCTCTGGGTTCTGAGAGGGGAGGCAAAGCCCCACTCTGGGGTCTGCGGTGGGGAGGCAAAGCCTTGCTCTAGGGTCTGAGGGGAGAGGCAAGCCCCTGCTCTGGGGTCTGAGGAAGGAGGCAAAACCCTGCTCTGGGAGTCTAATAGGAGAGACAGTTTTCCTGGAAGGGGTGGTATCCATGCAAAATGTACCCCCTCCCCACCACACTCAGCTGCCTTGAGAAAACTAGGCCTCAGGTGGTAAGATATCTCCTCCATCTCCCCCTCTGGGCTCTGCCAGCCCCTGCCAGGTCCCGCCCAGGCTGCTCTGGCGCCGGCCTAGGAATTCAATCTGGCTGGAAAGTAAAGGCTGTTTGTTTTCCCTGGTCACCTTCTTGGCCACCCAGAAACCAGCCCCGGATCACTTTCCAGGGCAACCATGTGTGATCGGATCCCTTGGATGACCTGTGCTGGCCTCGGGTCTAACTGGACCAGCCGTCATATGGCCCTGCAAAATCCCAGCCCTTTGAGTCCTGCTGGGCCTGGCCCCTTACAAGCATCTTGGAGGGTCCAGGGCCACATCAATCCAAACAGCCCCAGGCTGAACTGAGATCTTGGGCTACAGAGGGAGCGAAGCCTTACTTTTCCCTGCCTTTTGCTCGTTCCTGGGCACTGAGAGCTAGGCATCACGGGAACCTGGGTACGGGAGGAACAAGGGATGTTTCCGGAGAGACATGGCCCCAGCTCCACTGCTCACTAGCTGGTGAACCTAAGCAGTGACTTAACCTCTGAAATTCCAGAACATTTCATCACTCCAAAAGGAGACCCCATGAGCATTCTCTCCCCCGGCCCCTGGCAACCACTAACCTGCTTTCTGTCTCTCTGGATTTGCCTGTTCTGGACATTTCATATAGATGGAATCATACAGTGTGACCTTTTGTGTCTGGCTTCTTTCACTCGGTGTGATGTTTTCAGGTTCATCCACGTAGCGTGTGTCAGTGCTTCACTCCTTTTTATGGCTGAGAAATATTTCTCTGTGTGGATGGACCACATTTTGTTCTTCAGTTTATGGACAGTTTTGGTGATTGTGACTAGTGCTGCCGGGAACATGCATGTCCAAGATTTGTTTGAACACCTGTTTTCAATTCTTTATGTCTCCTAAAAATTTGTACTCCCACCCTGGTCCTGGCTCTGTGGCTGAGGCTGAGGGGTCCAGCTTCTTGTTCCCCTGACCAGTCCAGGAGATTAGATCCTCTGCACTGGCAGCCAGCTGGGGTCCTTCCTTCTCTTCTCTCTCTTCCACTCTGAGTCCTCAAGGCCTGGGCAGTTCTCGGAAACTAGAATCTCCAATACCTGCTCTGTCCTGGATCCCTATGTGATGAGGTTCCCACCATTGCTGCTGTGTGGCCTCACTTCTTGGGCCTCAGTTTCCCCATCTGTGAGTGGGGCTGTCCTGAAGATTAACTGGGGACAGGAAAGTGCCTGGCCTGTGCCTGCAGTACCAAGCATGTGATAAAGACATACCATTTATTTATTTTTTTTCAATCCTCACTCAAGGATATTTTTCCATCTGTCTTCCTACAGAGTGGAGGGAGGAGAGAGAGAGAGAGAGAGAGAGAGAGAGAGAAAGAGAGAGAGAAACATCGATGTGAGAGAGATTCATTGATTGGTTGCTTCCCGCACGACCCTGAGCAGGACTGGGACAAACCACAACCGAGGTATGTGCCCTTTACTGGAACTGAATCTGCAACTCCTTGGTCCATGGGCCGACGCTCTAACCACTGAGCAAAACTGGCCAGGGCCATACCATTTATTCTTATTTTATCCTCTTTGTTTGATATTCATCATGCTCATCAAGAGCCCATGCTCACTGGACACCCACATGTCAAGTGCCACATGGGATGCTCATGTACATTATCTCTTGACCCCACTCTGCTGGTGAGAAGGAAGTCTGAGCAGCTTCCCAGGGGTGCAGGGAGGAGAGGGCCAAGGCTGGTGGGGCACCTTGGTCTGTGATCAGCTGGGCCCCTACCTGGGGTCAGACTTGGGACCAGTCCTCCTGCTGGATGTTGTCACTTCTCTGCCCATTGGGAAGGGTCCCGGGAGATTCCTTTGCTATGGCCAAGCCTCCTCTGCTTCTTGGGCCCTGGAGTCCCTATGTAATTCAGGAAGGGACAGGCTGGAAAATTTTGGGAGACATCTGTACATTTGAGGTAGGGGTGGGGGAAATCAGTGAAATTTACAGGCATGAAGATTTGTGGGAGATGGTTCCCAGGGCAACCCCGTCTCCCACTCCTGCCCTCCTCACTCTCACTCCTGTCATCCCCCCTTTAACCCAAGCCTGAGCTTGGCCACGAAGCACATTCAGATTTGGTTCAAGTGACATGGAGATAGTGAGGGCCAGAGTTTATTTGCAGTCCTGCAAGATAGGAGTGGGGCTAGGGCCTCAGGAGACTCCTAGGGCTCTGAGTTATCCGCTCCAAGCCCTGTCAGTTCTGTGAGTCCCAGAAACTGGCCATCAACCCATCTTTTCCAGCTACCAGATGCCCCGACTGACAGCAGCGTGGGCTGACACACTGACGACCTATTGTGCACAGGCCCCGGAATGGCTTCGACGGAGTCTCATGGGAGCCCCAGGCAGAGGGACTGCTTCTGTCCCCATTTTATAGATGAGGAAACTGAAACACAGAGTGGTGAAGCCCTCAGCCACAGATCCACAGCCAAGAATCTGGATGTAGTCCTTTGGGCTGCTGTGGCCCTGGGCTGCTCTGAGCTCTACACGCAAAGCTTTCAAATGCTCGTAGACCGGAAGGAGTCGCAGAGACTTGCACTGTCAGCATCATGGGGGATACAGGACCTTGCGCTGATGCTCAGTACTGGCCGGGGGACCCCTGGTGAGGCAGTGCACTTCTCTGGGCCTCGGTTTCCTCATCTGTAAAATGGACGGAGACATTTAGAGAACCACTGCCTAAGCCTCACCCTCCTGTCCTGCCCATCATAGAACTTCATTTGTCTACACAGCTACATTTCCCAGTCTCCCCTTCAGTAAGCTGTAGCCATGTGCCTCTGTTCTGGTCAGTGAGGTATAAGCAGAAAGGTCCCAAGGCCTCCCAGGAAGACTTCCAAAAGATGCTGAGCCAGCCCTGGCCTCTGCCTCTTTGAATGAGGACATGAAGGCTGGAGCCCTGGCAGCCATTTTGTGCCATGAGGAAACCTTGAGGACAAAAGCCAGGCATGCTGTGACCTTAAAGAGAAATCAGGTTGTATTGCTACTGTGGCTGATCCTGGACATATCTACAGAGTGCTCTTTCTGCCGCCTCACACCAGCTCTCTATTCCTGACCCGAGTTCACACTAGTGTGGAGTCTTTCCCTGAACCCCCTGGCTTATGGCCCAACATGCTGCGCATCTCATGGGTGACCCCTTCCCAGTGGCCCCCACCAACCAACAGCATCTGGTGCATGTGGGATGCAGGCAGGCTGCTCTCCTGGCCACCCCCCATAGCTGCAGGTACCGAGGCAGTGACTGAGAGGTTCTGAGGAGTTCTGAGGGGGTCCCCAGGTTCTGGGCAGAATGAGTAGGGGGTTTGGTGGTGGGTACCCTGCTGGGGCTGAGCCCGGGGGCTGGCCTTGGACACTTCAGCAGAGCGGACAGGGTCATCTTCAAAGTGCGGTGGGGACAGCTCATGGAGGCCACGGCGGGTAGCTTGGGCAGCCCGGAGCAGAATGTGGGTCAGCACGGCCACCAGAGCCAGGGCACCCAAGCCGAGGATGGAGGCAGCTGCTGCTCCTGTCTCAATCTCAAAGAGCAGCAGGGCATAGATGGACAGTGCTGAGGAAGGAAATATTTCTCATTTATTCAGTAAACAAACATCTACTCCCCAAGTCCTGGGAGAGCTTCCCAAAGAAGGAGCAGTCATTCAAAACCGTCCAACATGGTAGGTACCTGGATTAACTGATCCAATCTTCTCACAACCCTCAAATATATCATCATGATGTCAATTTTACCATAAAAGGGTAAATTTTGTTATGTGTTCTTTACCACAATTAAAACAACCCAGATTTCAGGTTTTCTGGATCCTTGTGGTTGGCCTTCAGTGAATCACACCTCCTCTCTGGCCTCAGTTTGATGATGTGAACAAGACAGTTGGTAAAGTGCACATAACAAAATTTACCTGTACTGGTTCTCTGTCACTCTGTTCAGCATTCAGTTGGCACCATTCTTTACTGTGAGGACTATCCTATATATTGTAGGACATTTATCAGTGTTTACATACTAGATACCAATAGCACCCTCCTCCTACCCTGTTGTGACAATCAAAAATGTCTCCAGTTATTGCCAAATATCCCCTGGGGTGTAGAATCAGTCCATTCCCTATCCCCAACCTGGTTGCTGGTCTAGGAGCTCTGACCTACCCTTGTGGTGTCAATGATATGTAAAGTACAAGGTTTGGTCAATCAGAACATTGCTTTCCTAGTTGTAGTGATTGGTGCGGGGCTTTCACATGACCCACGCTTAGAGTCAGACCTAAGACTTTTGCTTGGGATATGAAGACTCGGTAATTTTCTTACTGCGGCCCCTGGGGAACTTGTAAGAGAGAAGCCCCGGGCTAATAGAGGACTTCTTGGCACTTTGTGGACTGTTTTTATGCCTTCTTTGGCTCTGCACTCTTGCTTTTGAAGATGTCACATTATATCATGTTTGACAAATTAAAGTGAGGTCAAGGACTTTTTTTGCTCTAAACTTTTTTTTTTTTTTTTCAAATTATAAAAGAAAGTTTATTTAGGAAGTCACAGAGGTAGAAAAGGTGAGCCAGCTTGGGCTATGTGGGCTTAGGAAACAAGTTACAGAGGCAAAAGAAGGGCCCTTGAAGCTTAGAAAAAAGAATGGCAGAATGGGCCTGGGGGAGGAGAAGAGGAAGGGCACAGCCGTGCTCAAGAGAGAAAGAGCGTGCCTCTCTAAACAGTTTTGAAAAGGTCTTTATAGTTATTCTTTTGGCTCTGGTTAGCAATGAATGGAGGACTGGCTGGACATACTGGGGAATTCTTGCCAAGTGAGATCACCTAACCTCAGAAAGAATCTAAGTTGGAGCTGAATTCATGCTTTTTTTTTTTTTATCCTCATTGGAGGACATTTTTGCATTTATCTTCAGATAGAATGGCAGGTCAGAAAGAGAGGAAGAGAGAAAGAACCATCGATGTGAGAGAGACACACGACTGGCTGCCACCCACACAATCCCAAACTGGGCTAGGGACAAACTGCCACCAAGGTACATGCCCTTAGCGGGAACCGAACCCAGGACTCTCTGGTCTTCGGGCTGACAGTCTAACCGCTGAGCCAAACCGGCCAGGGCTGAATTCATTCTTAATTTAATGCTTTATAAAACTGGCATAGCCCAAGCTGGTTTGGCTCAGCGGTTAGAGTGTCGCCTGTGGACTAGAGAGACCTGGGTTCGGTTCCCGCTAAGGACACGTACGTTGGTTGCGGTTCGTCTCCGGCCCAGGTTGGGGTTGTGCGGGTGGCAGCTAGTCGGTGTGTCTCACATCAATGTTTCTTGCTCTCTCTCTTCCTCCCTCTCTCCCTCCTGCTCTATCTGAAGATAAAAACAAAATAAAAAGTGTCCTCGGGTGAGGAAAATAAATAAAGTGAAAACAAAACAAAACAAAAACCTGGCATGGTCACTCCTGCTTTTGTGAGTTTTCTCGTATTTTAGAATGAGGATACTTTATTCTCTAAGTCTCCAAAATTTTTGTTGGCTCATGAAAAGAGTGGAGATTGTAGCCATTTTGTCAAAAGCATGGATACAGACATCTTTACTTAGGGGACAGCAAGTGAAGAGGTGAAGCAAGAGGCATTTCTAACGGCCTCATTTGAGCACCTGGATTCAGTCACACCTGAGGCCAACAATCCCTGATCTTTTCAGATACACGAGTCACTGCATCCACACTCTCACTTTTTTCCATCCTCACCCAAGGACATTTTTTTTTTTTTTTTTGCATTTATCTTCAGATAGAGCTGGAGGGAGAGACGGGGGAAGAGAGAGAGAGAAACATCGATGTGAAAGAGACACATCAACTGATTGCCACCCACACGACCCCAACTGGGGCTGGGGACAAACTGCAACTGAGGTACATGCCCTTAGCTGGAACAGACCCTAGGACTCTGGTCCGAGGGCCGATGCTCTAACCGCTGAGCTCAAAACTGGCCAGGGTGCTCTTTTTTCTTTTGTTAATCCTCACCAGAGGATATGTTTTTTCCATTGATTTTTAGAGAGAGTGGAAGAGAGGGGAGAGAGGGGGAGAGGTAGAGAGAGAGAGAGAGACAGAGAGAGAGAGAGAGAGAGAGAGCCATGGATTGGTTGCCTCCTGCACAGGGGATTGAACCTGTAACCCAAGAACGTGCCCTTGACTGGAAATCAAGCCTGGGACCCCTCAGTGCGTGGGCCAATGTTCTAACCAGTGAGCCACATCTGCCAGGGCCATCCACTCTCTTAAAAAACCCATATCTGGAACATTTTATTAAGTCAAACAACAAAAGTTATGCAGAGTTCCCTGAACTTTATATACTATTTCTCACAATGAGCCCTAGGCTCACATCTCATAAGTACATATTTTAAACATATCTCCTAAACTTCTATTTCTCTATTGTGAGACTAAGAAAAAAACAGTGATAGCAAATCCCTGTTTTTCATTCAACTGAATATTTTTCTTCCAGTAAAACAGATTGTTTATCAGGCTTCCAGGGATTTGTGTATAACAGCATGGAGTCTACAGACCATCAACACATTTTTCAAGATTACAGCAAATATGAGATGTCAGGAGTCTCTTTAAAGAAACTTAATGATTCGATGCCTTTACCAAGCAGGTGTGGGTGAGGGAACACTGATCTAAGGAAAGTTATTACAAGTCAGGGAAGGAAAGAGGGTGATGTGTCTTCTGGCACCCAGCTAATTCTTTTTACTCTGCTTCATGTTTGGGAATTTAAAATTGCATTTCTGTTTTATAAAGCATATTTCCACCTTAAGCCATTCTTGAGCTGGAAGTTCTGATATTTGTAACCAAAATGGTTTTTTGCTAAGGCCAACCTCTGAACTATCTCCCGAAACCACCAAGGGCATAGAGAATTTTGTTCAAACCAAATGTAGTAAACTGATGAATCAGAAGTGTTCTGAAGATAAGTACCATTTATGAATCTCTCCCTCCCCACTGGAGCCAGATTCCACCTTTGGATTTTTACAGGGGTTAACTCAAAATCCTCTTAGCAATTCTATGAAGCAATACATTGTTATTATCCCATTGTACTGATGAGGAAACTGAGGCACAGAGGGAATTTTCCCAAGGCCCCAGAATGAAAGTGTCATAGCCAAGAGCCAACACAGGCAGGGTGGCTCCAGAGTGACCCCAGTATGGGACCATTACCCCTGGCCATCCCAATCCATGGCCCCACACCCCATATCCTATCCCCCAGGACTCACCTGCTAAGTAGACAGTGACCCCGCAGCAGAATAGGCCAAGGGCCACATGTCTGAGGAGGCGGCAGTCGTAGAAAAACCAATCAGACCTAGGAGGGAGGGAGGCAGGAAGAAAGGGTTCAGGAGGTGGAGCTGGTTGGGGAAGGCTGGGAAGGGAGGGAGTGGCCCAATTTTGGGGAAAACAAGATCTATGTGAGGATGGATCCATCCATTCATCCATCTACCCACCTCTTCATCCACCCTTCCAGGTAAATGTTCACCACAATTTACCATCCATCCCCATAGATTATTCAACCATATAGTTACCCATCCATTTAACCATGCCTTATGAATCCATCCACCCATTAATCCATACATTCATCATCCATTCCCCTGTCCCATAACCATCCATATACCTCAGTCCATTCAAACATCAACGAAACAGCTATTATATAGGGACACTTGCTAGACACCTGACTTCCATTATGTTACAGACCATAGTTTATCTGGGAGATGAAGAAACATTAGTTAACTTGCTACCAATGATGATAAACAGAGTCCCAAGAGCCGACACTGAGGACCTAGATTTGAAGGTTGGCGCTCTCTCCCTTCTCCAGTCCCGTGAAAGAAATGGAGGCTCTAAGAGCTGCCATCGTCATTCACCTCCCACCAGTACAATGGAAGTGGCCTCCTCCCTGGTCTCTTCTGCACTTTAGAGCGTAACGTTCCCTCAATGACAAGCACTTTCAACACTAGAGCTAGCTGATCCGGGACTCTCTCTGAGCCTCAGTTGCCACATATGTAAAATGGGTGTGTGTGTGTGTGTGGGGGGGTGTCCCAGCAGTAGTTTCGCCGTTATGAATTTTCAACTAATATAGAAGGGAGGAAGGGAGGCAGGGATGGAAGGAAGGACGGAGGAGGGAAGGATGAATGGACGGAGGGAAGCAGGGAAAGATGATAAAGGGAAGGGGGAAGGGAGGGAGGATCTCCCCTAACCTGAGGCCCAGACCCTGGGCTGGGCGGAGGGACCAGGCCTCCTACCTGCCGGGCCCGGGCCCCCTGGCCAGCTCGGCGCCCAGGTGGCCGCAGAGAGCGACGAGCAGCAGGCAGGTGAAGCCCAGAACCAGGGCGAGCGCGGCGAGCGCGGCGGCCAGCGGCAGCAGCGCCCCAGCAGCGTCTTCGGGCAGCCCCGCGCCCACGTCCAACTCCGGACCCAGCCCGTCAGCGCGCACCCTCCGCAGCTCCGCGCGGCCCGCCTGCAGCTGGAACAGCAGCTGCGCGCCCAGCGCCGCCAAGACGGCCGCCGGGACGCCCAGCAGGATCATCGCAGCCAGCACCCGGCCGCTGTACGAGCGGGCCATGGCAGGGGTCCTGCGGGCCTGGGGGCAGTCGAGGAGTCAGAGATTTGGGGGGGCGGGCAGCCGAGTTGGGGGTGGCGGGGGTTCCGAAGGGGGCAGGGTCTCAGGGGTGGTTGAAAGTTGGTGGGGGTTTCAGGGGCCTAGAGGTACCGGTCGCAATGGGGACGAGGAAGCTCTGCGAAAACTTGAGGCAGTCTTTTCCTTTGGAGGGACCCTGCGGGCGCCCCCTCCAGGCCTCGGGTGCTGGCTGGGAGGGGCCGGCGCGGGGCGGGGCCTAGAGGGGTAGGGCGGCCCCACGAGGGGCAAGGGCGCGGTGACTCCCTCCGGGAATCCCTACAGGTCCCTAAACTCATTAAAGTACCGCTGGCCTAAGCACCTGTTTTAATCCTCACCCAAGGATATTTTTTCCATTTATTTTTTAGAGAAAGTGGAAAGGAGGGGGAGAGGGAAAGAGAGAAACATCAATTGATTGCCTCTCCCACAAGCCCCAACCGGGAGCTAGGGATGGAACTTGCAGTTTAGGACTGGGAATCAAACCCGAAACCCTCTAGTGCAAGGGCTGATGCTGTGACCACTGAGCAAGGCTATTGCTGTTTTATAAAAAAAGAAACTTGGCCCTGGCCAGGTTGGCTCAGCGGTTAGAGCGTTTGGTCTGCAGGTTCGATTCCCCGTCAAGGGCACAAACCTGGGTTGCAGGTTCGATCCCTGGCCCCATGTGGGGGTCATGAAGGAGGCAACTAATCAACGCGTCTTTCTCACATTGATGTGTCTCTCTCCCTCCCTTTCCACTCTATCTAACAATGGAAAAATATCCTTTGGTGGGAATTAACAACAAAAAGAAAAAGAAAAGAAAGAAAATTAAAAAAGAAACTTGGGCCCTGGCCGGTTTTCTCAGTGGTTAGAGTGTCGGCCTGCGGTCCAGAGAGACCGGGGTTCAGTTCCCGCTAAGGGCATGTACCTCGGTTGCAGTTTGTCTCTGGCCCTGGTTGGTCGTGCAGGTGGCAGCCACTCGATGTGTCCCTTTCACGTCGATGTTTCTCTCTTCCTCTCTCCCTCCCATTCTATCTGAACAAAAATTGGAAAAAAATGTCCTCGAGTGAGGATAAAAAAACAACAACAAAAAAAGAAACTTGGCCCTGGCCAGGTGGCTCAATTGGTTGGAGTGTCCTCCAGTACACCAAACAGGTTGCAGTCACAGTCTGGCCAATGTGGATCAGTGGTTGAGTCGCTGACCCATGCACCAAGAGGTCACTGGTTCGATTCCCGACCAGAATACATGCCCAGGTTGTGGGCCCGGTCCCCAGTGAGGGGCATGCAGGAGGCAGCCAATTGATCTTCTCTCTCATCGATGTTTCTATCTCTCTCTCCCTCTCCCTCTCTCTCTCTCTCTCTAAAATCAATAAAGGGAGAGAAAAAAAAAAAGGTTGCAGTCATGGCATATACCTGGGTTTCAAGTTCCACCCCAGGTCGGGGTACATACTGATGGATGTTTCTCTCCCACCTTTCTTTTTTCTTCTCTCTCTTCCTTCCTCTCTCTAAAATCAATAAAAACAATCTTTGGCTGGGGATTAAACAAATAAATAAACTTGAACAAATTTCTAAATAATTCACTTTGATAACCTGGTCTCTATCTGTGGAACTTGCAGTTGTTTGTGATCGCCTGTTTGCTCACCCTCTTTCAAGGCTTTGCAGAGATGTTGCCTCCTTGTCGAGGCCCTCCTGGACCCCCTCTTAGCCCTTCGCTGCTAGGCCCAGTTCTAACCACGGCACTTTTTTTTTTGTTACTATTTTTTTCTTTTTATTAAGTTTATTGGGGGTGACACTGGTTAAAAAAATTATACAGGTTTCAGGTGCATAATTCCACAATACATCATCTGTACATTGTATTGTGTTCATCATTCGAAGTCAGGTCTCCTTCCATCACCATTTATTGCCCCATTATTATTTTTTAAGTTTTAAAAATGGAGGTGAAATTTACATGATATAAAATTCACCATTTTATTTATTTATATATTTTATTTTATTTTATTTTTATCCTCACCTGAGGACATTTTTCCATTTTTTTGTTCAGACAGAGTGGGAGGGAGGGAGGGAGAGGGAGAGGAGGGAGAGGAAGAGGGGGAGAGGAGGAGGAGGAGGAGGAGGAGGAGAGAGAGAGAGAGAGAGAGAGAGAGAGATCGACGTGAAAGGGACACATTGAGTGGTTGCCACCCGCATGACTCATCCAGAGCCGGGGACAAACTGCAACCGAGGTACATGCCCTTAGTGGGAACCAAACCCGGGTCTCTCCGGACTACAGGCCAACGCTCTAATTGCTGAGCCAAACCGGCCAGGGCTATATATTATTATTTGTGAATCCTCACCCGAGGATATTTTTCTATTTATCTTCAGATAGAGTGGGAGAGTGGGAGAGAGGGAGGGAGAAAGAAACATTGAGTGAGAGGGACACATCGACTGGTTGCCTCCCGCACAATCTCGACCAGGGCAGGGGATGAACCTAAACTGAGGTACGTGCCCTTGACGGGAATCAAACTCGAGAGTCACTGGTCTGTGGGCCGATGATCTTAACCACATCAATTGGCCACCTCCTGCACGCCCCCCACTGGGGATTGGGCCCACAACCTGGGCATGTGCCCTGACCAGGAATCGAACTGGCGACTTCTTGGTGCATGGGTCGATATTCAACCAGTGAACCACACCAGCCAAGCACCATTTTAAAGTAAACAATTTAGTGGCATTTGGTTCATTCACAATGTTATACAATCATCACCTCTATCTAGTTCCAGAATATTGTTATCATCCCAAAAGGAAACCCCCATTAGCAATCCGCATTCCCTTTCCCCAGCTACTGGCAACCACTAATTGATTTTCTGCCTCTATGCATTTGCCTGTTCTGGACACTTCTTATCAATGGAATCACACTCAATGTGGCCTTTTCTGTTTAGCTTCCTCCACTCAGCAGAATTTTCGAGGTTCATTCATGTTGTAATGTGTGTCAGTGCTTCATTCCTTTTTATGACTGAGTAATATTCCATTGTATGGATGGACCACATTGTGTTTGCCATTCATCTTCTAGAGGACATTTGGGTTGTTTCCAACTTTTGGTGATTATGACTATTGCTGCTATGAACATGCATGTAGAAGGATTTGTTTGAGTCCCTGTTTTCATTTCCTTTGGGTATGTACCAGGAGTGGAATGGCTGGGTCATATGGTCATTCTATATTTAACTTATTGAATGGCTGGCAGACTGTTTTCCACAGTGGCTGCACTATTTTACATTCCCACCAGCAGTGCCCAAGGGTTCCGATTTCTTCATTTCCCAGCCAATGCTTATTATTTTGTTATTTTTAAAAAAAATTATAGTCATCTCTTCAGCTGATGTGGCTGAGTAGTTGACTGTCACACTCACCAAGAGGTTGCCGATTGGATTCCCAGTCAGGACACATACCCAGGTTGTGGGCCCGATCCCCAGTGGGGGGCATGCAGGAGGCAGCCAATCAATGTTCTCTCTCATCGATGTTTCTATCTCTCTTTCCCTCTCCTTTCCTCTCTCTAAAATCAATAAAGGAAGAAAAAAAAAATTATAGTCATCCTACAGATATGAGGTGGTATCTCACTGCAGTTTTGATTTGCATTTCCCTAGTGGTTTCTGATGGTGAACATCTTTTCATGGGCTTATTGGCCATTTGTGTATCTTTTTTGGAGAGATGTCTGCTCACATCCTTTGCTTATTTTTGAATCTGGTTGTTTATCTTTTTCCCCCTAAACACTTTGCATCCTGCAGTTTCCCAATGTCTGGGGCCCTCTGCTGGTGGGCTGCACCAGGACAGCAGGATGTCTGCCCAAGTGTCCACCAACATGTGTTCCCTTAATGTCTGGGACAGCACTCAGCAGGCCCTCAATAAATACTTGCTGAACCCATGAATGAATGAATGAATGAATGAATGGCCTGGTACTCGTGTTCTGAATTCTTGCAAAATGTGGAATATCAAATCTAGAAATGGTTTCACAGGTAACACATTCCTGATAGATCCAGAATAGAGTAAAATGAGTCATCCTGGCCTTCTGAAAGCAGGGCCTTGCCTTAATGCATTCAGGTCTGAAAGACAGCATAGTCATCTCTTGGGCTTTACAGACTTCCTAGGTCACACAGCTTAGCACAGGCAGGGTGATATTCGAACCCAGAAGCCTGGCTCCAATCCACTGCTCTATACAATTTCACAGACACACTAGTTTTGAATTTCCAGGTCATTTTTCTGACTTGGGGGGTCTTTTTTATTTCAAAATTTTGGGGTCTTCTGGGAAGAGTTTAAGGGTCCTGAGCCCTCAGCCCAGTGTCTTATGGGTAAAATGATCTTGGGGGAAACTATGGGGTGACCCTACAGCTCCAGGTGGGCTCCTTCTTTGCTGAGTGACTTTGGGCAAGTCCCTTACCTTCCATGTGCTTCCTCATTTGTAACAAAAATAAGTTCATTTACTCATTTACCAGGTTTCAGCCCAACATACCCAGTCTCTTCATGATCATAGTTAGGATGAATTTTCCATGATTTACAGGTAAGGAAAAGTCCCAAATTAAGGTAGCTGGGGCTCACTGACTCATTTGGAACAAAGCCCCAGCTCTGTTCCCTGTGTTGAAGATACACGAATTTAAGATAGTTACAGTTATTCATTCGACAAACACTCAGGGGGAGCCAACCCTGTGCTGGCTCCTAGGCTCTGGGGACACAGTGGCAGATATAGCTTGCCCTTCTGGGACTCATGGCCTGGTGGGGAGGTAGAAACACAAGCTAAACTGGAAAAGTAAACAGTCAAGTCCATACAACAGCCAAAGGTCATTATAGCACTGTCTTAGATTTTACCATTTTTTGTTGGGGGCTTGGGGAAGGTAGGTTCACAGATACCAAGACTTAGCCCTTTCATTTGTGTGTGGGTGACTTTCTAGTTTGGGGTATCTGGCTTCAATTTGGAAAATTAATCCTGCAAGTGGATGACACTCTATGGGCGATACTCTAAGGGTGATTCCGTCTGCCTTGGTCAGGCACCAAGTTGTCCCTTCCTCTCTGCAACTAAGACAGGTAGGAGTGGGGATGGAGGGATCATGACTTTACCAGGAACGATGAGACCTGGAGAGGGCCAGAGACTTGCCCACATCACACAGGACAGAGAGTGGACTCCCCTGTCTCACTGCCCAGGTGAAGGCTGGCCACTGAGTGCTGGTGGGAATAAAGATATTATTCATGGGTCTTATGTCCTGTGGTTTGCTCTGGAAGGCAGTTTATTCTAGCCCTGGCCAGTGTGGCTCAGTTGGTTGGAGCATTGTCCAGTACACCAAAAGGTGAAGGGTTTGATTCCCGTCAGGGCACATACCCGGGTTGTGGGTTTGATATCTGGTGGGGGGAATGTGAGGAGGCAACAGATCAAGGTTTCTGTCTCACGTCAATGTTTCTATCTTTCTCTTCCTTTCTTGAAAATATCAATTTAAAAAAATCCTTTTCTTCTGAAAGCTGCAACCTAGTATTAGGTATACAGAATTTAAGAGCCATTATCACACAGGGTCCAATGCACAGGTGGGTTTATTGAGGTCCACAAAAGGAAAACTGGCTGGAACCTGAAACAGGTGGCATCACCGACCTCATCCTCAATGTTCTCATCTGGAGACTGAGGCTTAGGAATGAGGATAAAATGGGGCGCTCACTAGTCCAGTGCCCAGGCCTCCCAGGCCCCAAGCAGCAGCGCCTCACCTTTTCCGGAGATTGGGCGCAGGAGGAGGGGCTTACACTTCATTTACATGTTTGGCTCCGCTTCCAAGAACGCGCCTCACCCTCCCGCCTTCAGGCGGCGCCAGAGGCAAAAGGAAGAGGCTCCTGGTTTGGAGCTAGCTCCAGCCCTGGCTTCTTGGCTGACCTGCCAGATAGGGCTTAGCCTTAGTGTCATTTTCAAGAAAGGAGGCTTAGAGAGGGGAGGTGACTGTCCTCCAGTCACACAGATAAGAAGTGGTTCCAGATTGGAGTTTTGATTTTTTAATTTCTCTATTCTGTTGTCTCTCCGGGAACATTCGGAACCCCAGCATCCATGGCACCAAATATTGAAATGCATCTCGAATAAACTATAAAGGATTGTTGTAGTCTTGCATATGAAATATATGGACAACTCATTTTTTTTCCTTTTTATTGAATTTATTGGGGTGACACTGCAAACAATTCCACAACATGGACAACTCATTTAATGTAAGGTGAGCTAAGCGTTCTCAGCACGATTAATAGGTTTTATTTGCATTTTCCCATTTGGGAATCAGTAACCATTCTACCTCACCCAGATCTTAAAAATATTACTGGGACCCCGGACAGAGCGCTCAGACGCGCGCCTCTGGAGAAGCAGGACAGGCCCTGGGTCCGCCCCCTCTTGGGGAGGGTATCTCACTTAGAGACCTACGTCCCGCCCTAGGCCCCTCCCTTCACCTGCGCTCCGCGTTTGGGGGAGGTCATAAGACTCCTTCAGTTCCCGCCTCGGGCCTCAAAAAGACCCTTACCCCTTCCCGTCGTCCGGCCTATCCCGCCTCCCCCACCCCCGGCCCCCGGCCCCCCGCCTCCCCGCTCTGGCCTCCTGACCAGAACGCAGAATGACCCCTCCCCTCGCCCCGCCTCCTCCCATCCGACCCAGGTGGGGCTCATCTCCTGAGTCCGCTGTGCCTGCCAGCCCCCCCACCCCCAACTTGAGGGGCTTAGAGTAGCTCCCGGCCCCAACCCCCACCAGTCCGTTTGTTTCTCTCCCACCAGAGGCTCAGAACAGCTCCGCCCCCCGCCCCCTCGGGGGTGTTATTACAGACCCTCACTCTGGTCCTCCCCCGACCCGGGCTCAGAACAGCTCCCCGGCTCCGCCTGCCGCCCCGGAGTCGCCCCCTCCACCCCCTCCACGCCGGCCGCGAGCTCCCCGCACCCCCCAGTCCACGCGGTACTTGCGGCGGCGCAGCGGCTCCGTGAGGCTGCGCGGCGCGGGGTCGTCCAGGTCCTCCGGCTGCAGAAAGCTGCGGTCCAGCACCTCCGCCGCCTCCTGCCAGTTGGCGAAGCAGGCGGGACCCAGGCGCCGGATCTCGTCCGCCGCGTCGCACGTGAGCACGTCCCCGCTGGGCTTGAGCACCACGACAGCCGGCAGCCGGTCCACCGAGAACTGGCGTCCGAGGTCCCTGCGGGGCGGACAGGTGAGTGACCCCGAGCCAGGGAGCCCCAGATGACTTCATCCAGTACTTACTGAACGCCTGCTGTGTGCACTGCCCGTGCTGGGCGCTGGGGAAGTCCGGGGCCAGGCCAGGCCACACTGGCCTCTGCGCTGTGCCTCCAACACCCCAGACTCGCTCTCATCTCAGGGCCTTTGCACTGGGTGGTGCCCTCTACCTGGTGCACTCTCCCCAGATCCAGCCTCAAATCACAACGCCTCCCTTTTCCTCTGCTGTTCAGTACCTCTCAGCATCCAACACATTGCATAGTTAATTTCTCCATTTTCTCCCACAAGAGAATGTAGCTTCACCAGGGAACGGATTTCTGTTTTTATTCACTGGTGTCCCCAGTGCATGAAACAGTAGGTGCTCCGGAAATATGTGGGATGAATGAATAAATGAATGAATATTGATAAATGCTATAAAGAAATCTGAGTAAGGGGGCTGGAGGTTAGGGAGGGCCTCAGCCAGCAAGGAGGTGACCTTTGAGCTGACATCTGCAAGATGAGAAGGGGGAGCACTGGGAGAAGGGTGTCCCAGGCAGAGGGCACAGCCCTTGCAAAGGCCCTGAGGTGGGAGGAGATTGGGGTTCTGACTTGATCATGCAGCAACCCCAGGGCCACGAGGAAGAGTTTACATTTTCTTTTCAGTATGAGGAGGAAGCCAGTGAGAAACTGTCCACAGCCCCAGTAGACCCAGGACCAACCCGCTGTCTAGGCCAGAATCCCTCACAGTCATCATGGAGTAAAGGGAGCTACCAGACTGGGCCCATCTCCCACCGTTCTTCTTCCTTTTTTTGTCTTCAAATTATAAGAGGAAGTTTATTTAGAAAGTTATGGAGGTAGTAGAAGTTAGCCAGCTGGGCTGAATAGGCTCAGGAAACAAGTTACAGAGGCAAAAGAAGGGCCCATGGAGCTTGGGAGAAAGGCAAAGGGGGAAACCACCTGTGTGGAAGAAGAGGGGGAAGGGAAAAGCACGGGTGAGCTCTTGTGAGAGGACGAGTGTGCCTCACCCATGATTCTTAATTTCCACCCACATGGTTCCTGGGAGGCCCTTTTCCAGGACTCCACACAGAGAACACATGGTACTTGCAAAATCCCACAGGAGTAGGTTACCAGACTTAGCAGATAAAAATACAGGACACCCTTGCCCAGCCTGTGTGGCTCCATAGATTGAGCATCATCCCATGGACTGAGAGGTCTTGGCTTGATCCTGGTCAGGGCACATGCTCGAGATTTCGGGCTGGATCCCCAGTGGGGGGTGTGCAGGAGGCAACTGATTGATGTTTCTCTCTCACATTGATGTTTCTCTCTCTCTCTCCCTTCCTTTTTCTCTAAAAAATCAATAAAAACATATTTAAAAAAATACAGGACACTCAGTTAAATTAGAATCTCATCTAAACAAATAATTTTTAGTATAAATGTGTCCCATGTAATATGTAATAATAAACTATTATTTATAGCTTGTGTGAAATTTGTGTTTTACTGGGCATCCTATATTTTATCCGGCAATCCTGTAGGTGGGTGGGGGTGGAGGGTGGGAACTGGTTCACTTTCTCCAGATACCAGCAGGGTGGATGTTTTGTTGGGAGGACTGCCTCAAATGAGGTCAGCATTTGGTCAATGTTGCCGTTTCTGGGGAAAGAACCCCTCAGCTGCAGAGGGCAGTGGGAGTAAGCCAGTGTCCAAACTTTAATTTGGGGTGAAGAATGAACTTCTCCATGACCAGAAGCTTCCAAATTTCTTATGTAGCAAAATGAATGAAATCAGAAAAATGTCACGAAGTCTGCAACTCACTTTCAAATGATTTAGCACAAACTCTGCAGGAATGTAGATAAAGCAAATATGGCAAAATGTTAACAGTGGTTGAGGGTTTCCTTGTGTTTCTTCCAACTTTTTGGTATCTTTGAAATTTTTCATAATAAAAAGTTGGGGTTTAAAAAGAATGAAAGTCTGCCCTGGCTGGTTTGGCTCAGTGGTTAAAGCATCAGCCTGCGGACCAGAGAGTCCTGGGTTCGGTTCCTGCTAGGGCACGTACCAAAAAAAAAGAATGAAAGTCTTACTGCAGAAAAGGGAAAAGTTCTAAATTAGCTACAAACTAAAACACCATTTATTGGGCTGCTCATTGTAAAGCTTGATTCCAACCACCTCTGTCTCAGCTCCAGCACCCTCCATGGCTCCCAGCTATGCTGAGGATCACACTCATTAAAGTGGTATTGGGGTACTGCTCCACATGGTGCCTGCTGACTTCTCACACCTGGAATTACTACTTATAGTTCCCTAAATTGGCTATCCTTGGAGCCTATGTACTGTGCTGTGCTCTCTGCCTGGAAATCCTCCCTTTTCCTCATATTTCATCCTCCCAACCTCCCTATCCTTAGAAGTCTCTCTTTCTTTTTATTTTTAATCCTCACCCAAAGACATTTTTTTTTTTTTTTTGCATTTATCTTCAGATAGAGGGGGAGGGAGAGAGGGAAGGGGAGGGAGAGAGAAACATCAATGTGAGAGAGACACATCGACTGGTTGCCACCCACATGACCCCAACCGGGGTTGGGGATAAACTGCAACTGAGGTACGTGCCCTTAGCGGGAACTAAACCCGGGTTTCTCTGGTCCACGGGTGGATGCTCTAACCGCTGAGCCAAAATGGCCAGGGTGAGGTCTCTCTTTTTTTTTATTCTCGCCCAAGGATATTTTTCTATTTATCTTCAGATAGAGTGCGAGGGAGAGAAAAGGAGAGAGAGAAACATCCAGTGAGAGGGAAACATCGACTGGTTGCCTCCCACACGATCCCAACCAGGGCTGGGGACAACTGCAACCGAGGTACGTGCCCTTGGCCGGAATCAAATCTGAGACTCATTGGTCCATGGACCGACACTCTACTGCTGAGCCAAACCAGCCAGGGCTAGAGGTCTCTCTTTAAAGCCACTTTTTCAATGAACATTCCCTGACCCCCAAATCTCAGCAAGGTCTCCCTATTATATCTCTACGTGGCATCCTTCCTTTGTCTCCAGAACATTACTGCAGTTTGCTGATATATATTTGAGTCTTTGTTTCATGTCTATCCCCCCAGTAGGTTGTAAGCTCCCTGGGGGCCGGATGGACATAGGCATGTGCACTTGCCCCTGTACCCCTCAGTTTTTGGTATGTGGACTGGCTGCTCAACTCCACATGGAGCTCTATCAATAAACTAATACTCCATATCAAACTGAAGAGAAAGCTCCTGCACAGCCAAAGAAACCATCATCACTCACTATATGAGAGAACATATTTGCCAATGATACATCCAATAAAGGGTTAATTTCCAAAATGTATAAAGAACTCAACAAAAGGAAGACAAACAGTCTGGTTGAAAAATGGGCAAAAAGCCTGGCCAGTTTTGCTCATTAGTTAGAGCGTCGGCCTGTGGACAGAAGAGTCTCAGGTTTGATTCCAGTCAAGGGCATGTACCTGGGTTGTGTTCGGTCCCTGGCCGTGGTTGGGGTCGTGCGGGAGGCAACCAATCGATGTTTCTCTCTCTCACTCTCTTCCTTCCCCCTTTCCACTCTATCTAAAAATCAATGGAAAAATGTCCTCAGGTGAGGATTTCCACTGCTGGTGGTAATGCAGACTGGTACAGCCACTAAGGAAAACAGGATGGAGTTTCCTCAAAATATTAAAAATGAAGCTGCCATTTGAACCAGTGATCTCACTTCTGGGAATATATCCTAACAATCCTGGAATACCAATCACAAAGAATATATGTACCCCTTTGTTCATTGCAGCGTTATTTATAATAGCTAAGATCTGGAAACAGCACAAGTGCCCATCAGTAGATGAGTAGATAAAAAAGCTGTGGTACATTTACACAGTGGAATACTATGCAGCTGTAAAAAGGGATCTCTGCCATGGATGGTTTGGCTTAGCGGTTAGAGTGTTGGCTCGAAGACAAAAGGGTCCTGCCAGTCAGTGGTGGAAACACAGGCTATGGAACCCCACACAGTAGGGGCAGCACATCCATCACCAGCTTCTTGAGAAGTGTGAATGGGCACAGAGGTCAAGTGGAAGAAGGCCAGAGCTCCAGAGCCCCAGAGCCCCAGAGCCCCAGCTTGCAGACCCACCATGCCCTGGATTTCAGTTCCCAGAACAAGTTCATATTTGCAAATACATCTATTGTTCTTTTGTGGGGGAAAAAAAAAGACAAAAGGGTCTTGGGTATGATTCCCGGTCAAGGGCACATACCTGGGTTGCAGGTTCAATCTCTACCCCGATGCAGGAGGCAACCAATTGATGTGTTTCTCTCACATCTCTCTCTCTCTCTCTCTCTCTCTCCCTCCCTCCCTCCCTCCCTCCCTTTCTCCCTCCTTCCTTCCCTTTCACTCTATCTAAAAAAAATCAATGGAAAAATATCCTTGGGTGAGGATTAACAAAAAAAAGAAGGATCTCTTACTCTGTGACACATGGATGGACCTGGAGATTATCATGCTAAGGGAAATAAGCCATTCAAAGACAAATATCATCTCACTGAATGTGGAATCTAATGAACAAAAGAAACTGATGGACAAAATAGGGCCAGAGGCATGGATGCATGGAACAGACTGACAGATCTCAGAGGGGAGTGCGGTGGGGGTGGGGGACAGGAAGAGTTTAACCAAAGAATTTATATGCATATATGCATGGCCTGTGGATACAGACAATAGTGTCATGAAGGCCTGGGGTGGGGTGGGATAGGGGCTAGGTGAAGGGGGGCAAGGATGGGGAACATCTGTAATACTGTCAACAATAAAAAACAAAAAAGTAATACTTCACTCAGAAACAGCCCCTCCTCCAGGAAGCCCTCCCTGACCTCTACTCCCACCTCACCTCCTAAGGTCATCCTCGAAGGGCAGGAAGAGCCACTTTTTGGGCATGTCCCTGAGGAACAGGTCCTGCTGCTCCTCTGTGGTGTCCTGAGACACATACACCAAGGCTATCTGAGCTGCCCGAAGCACATAGAATTCATCCGTGAGCCGAATGAAGAAGTCCCTGAGGACTGGTGCAAAGGTCTGGCACTCAGGGCATGACCCAGCCCCGAAGAACAGCAGCACCAGTCGGTTGTCCAGCCTGCGGCTGAGTTCCACCTCTGTATCCAGCTCATCCTGGTCACTGTTGTTTTGGATCAGAACTCGACCAGAGAATAGGGAGGCCATGGCAACCCTGGCTAGGACCTGGGGAAAGGGTGCAGGGAACTTGTGTGACCCTGGGCCTACTGGCTGGCTGCTGTCCCAGGATTAGTAAGGTCAGTTTAGGACCTCACTAATCTGCCTAAACCATGACCTGATTCTGCAGAGCCTCCCAGGGCAGGGGGCAGCTTTCTGTGGGCTCCTTCTCAAGGGACACCTGCAAATGCATTTTTAAAATGCACAGGATTGCAAAGGAAACACATCAGACTAACATACGGTGTGAAAACTTATGTGATACTGTGTGTATTTATAAAAATACATGCTTCTTCATGAACACATTAAGTAATCCTGATTCACCAGGGCTCTACTAATTATTGCAGTTTCCAAGTCAAGATGAGCATAAATGGTATTTTTATTAAATATGTTTTTATTGATTCTTTAGAAAGAGGAAGGAAGAGAGATAGAAACATTTACAAGAAAGAGAAACATCGATTGGCCACCTCCGGCATGCCCCCCACCAGGGATTGAGCCTGCAATCCAGGCATGTGTCCTGACTGGGAATTAAACCGGGACCCCTCAGTCCATGGGGCGACACTCAACCCACTGAACCACATTGGCTGGGCAAGCATAAATGGTATTTTGAGGTATCTGCCATGACCAAGATGTGATATGAAATTATCTTCAATTTCCATGGGTGAGTCACAGGACCAGCCTATGCCTGCTTTGACAGGACACGAGAAGACATGCTAAATTCCAATGAGAAGTTGATTAAAATAAAGATGATTTTTTCTTTCCCCAGAATTCTATCTGGACAGCCCACCTTAAGGTCCCCTGGTGTGCAAGGTTGAAAATCATGGCCACAGTATTATATGGCAGCCCCTTACATCAAGAGATGGAACCTAGTTCCCCTTTCCTTGAATCCAGGCTGACTTGTGTCTCACTTTGACCAACAAAATGTGGCAGAAGATGTGAGTTGACAGAATAATCCTTATGTCACCTCCCACTGTCACTGTCTTGGAATGCTTCCTCCAGATGCTCCAAGTCTAGGACAAAGGTCTAAGGTCTGGGCGGTTGTTATTCTCCCTAAATGTTAAAATGTAGTACAGTGTTTTGCAGACCAGCTGGAAACATGATGAGTTTGACAGGAACCTAGCCAGAAAAATTAACTGCAAAGAAGAAATCAATGTGTAGTTAACCAAATAGTGTATATAAACAATGGCTAAGCCTCCCTTAAGGGAAACAGAGCTTTGGATATGAATCCCCTGTCCCATTTACTTGCTTCAAGTAAATAAAACTACCTTGCGACAACCACATCTCATTCTTTAAAAAAAAAATTTTTAATTGATTTTAGAGGAAGGGAGAGAGAGAAACACTAATGTGAGAGAGAAACATTGATCTGTTGCCTCCTGCACACACCCTGGATCAGAGATTGAACTTGCAACATGGGTATCTGCCCTGACCAGGAATCAAACCCGCAACCTAGTATGTGCCCTGACCAGGAATCAAACTCACCACCTTTTGGTGTACAGGATGATGATGCTCCAATCAATTGAGCCACACTGGCCAGGGCCCATGTCTTCTCAAAACCAGTGCTGGGCTTTGAGTTCATTAACACAAGGAAGCCAGTGTAGCCCCGAGGTTGACAAGTCTTTTTAGTAAAGGGCCAGGTAATAAATATTTCAGCTCTGTGGTACATAGTCTCTGTTGCAACTTTAAATTCTGCCACTGTTGCCCCGCTGGTGTGGCTCAGTGGTTGAGTGTCAACCCATGCACCAGGAGATCGCCAGTTCGATTCCTGGTCAGGGCACATGCCCAGGTTGTAGGTCCAACCGCAGTGGGGGCATGCAGGAGATGGCCAATCGGTGTTCTCTCTCATCAATGTTTCCATCTCTCCCTCTCCCTTCCTCTCTCTCTCAAAATCAATAAAGAAAAATTAAAAAAAAAATTCTGCCACTGTCATACAAAGCAGCTCTAGATAATACGTAAATCAATTTATGTGTCTGGGTTCCAATAAAATGCTATTATGGATGCTGAAATTTGAACTTCATAGAGTTTTCATGTGTCATGAAATAGTAGTCTTTTGACTTTTTTCAACCATTCAGAAATGAAAAAAAAAAAATTCTTAGCTCGTGGTGAGCTGGATTTGGTCTTTGAGCTGTGGTTTGCAGATTCCTTTTCTAGCCTATTGGATGAGAGGCCACATGGAAAACTAGATGCCCAGCCAACAGCCAGCACTACCTGCCACACGTCATCCTCTAGCTCAGCCACCCAAAGAATGTTGCAGAGTGATTCAGTTCAGTGAGACCAGCAGAGGAACTGACCATCCAGGCAATCCATGGTATCCTGAGAAAGTTGGTGGCTGTTGTATTGAGGCAGATTAGTAAGAAGCTAGGAAATTACTTGGCAAGTGGAATGAGCAAAACAGACATATAGTTAAACAAGGCCAAGCAATTAACAGCCAGCTAATAAATCACAAGATCTTATCTTCTCTAACCAAGGACACTTAAGAGCAAATGGTTTATATTTCTCTCCCAACCAGAGAGTGAGTAGCTTAAATCATCCTAGTGAAGAAGATAGATGACAGGGACCCAGTTGATGCCTTTCGTGCCAGCCAAACCCCAGAACAGATGAAATCAAGGGAATGAATAACAAAAACAAAACAAAACAAAAAAACCCAAACAATTAGAGCCAGATAAATCCAAGATAAAGGTAAAGCAATGAAGCTGACCAGAGAATGATCCCAAATTCCCCTATAGGCTCATTTTGATGGATCAGCATCTCAAAGAACACACCAGGAAAGCCATTGTAATATTCTATTTAGACTTCCCTGAGACTTCCCCTAAAACTAACACCTTTAGAAAACAGATAAAGACTCTGGAGACAAAGGATGCCAGTGCATGCTCTCCCTTGAGCATGCCCATGCCCCACCCACCCGCCCTTGTTCAGGTGTGTATCTTTGCTTTTTTTCTCCTAGTTTCTAAGGATTTCCATGAGACTTGCAACCAGGGGAGTGGCTGGCAGCAGCAACTCATCCTGGGCTGACTTCCTAAACTTGTCTTCAAGGGCCTTCCTTTTGCCTCTGTAACTTGTTTCCTAAGTCCATGCAGCCCAGTGTGGCTCAATTCTGTTACTGTGACTTCTTTTCCTGAGTCGATGCAGCCCAGCCTAGGCTCACTTCTGCCTCTGCGAGTTTCTTTCCTAAGTCTAGGAAGCTCAGCTTAGGCTCACTCCTGTTGTTGTGATCTTGCCTCTTCTATCTTTTTTGTTGTTAATACTCACCTGAGGATATTTTTTTCCATTGGTATTTTTTCTTTAAAAAAAAAAAAAGTTTTTTTCTTTATTGATTTTAGAGAGAGAGGAAGGGAGAGGGAGAGAGAGATAGAAACATCGATGAGAGAGAACATTGATTAGCTGCCTCCTGCATGACTCCCACTGGGGATTTGGCCCACAACCTGGGCATGTGCCCTGACTGGGAATCAAACCAGCTACCTCTTGGTGCATGGGTCAATGCTCAACTACTGAGCCACACCAGCCAGGCTTTTTTTTTTTTTAAAGCACGTTTTTATTTTATTATTTTTTATTTTTATTGATTTTTTTAGTGAGAGAGAGAGAGATAGAAACATTGATGTAAAAGAGATACATCAATTGGCTGTCTCCTGAACGTCTCCTACTAGGGATTGAGCCTGCAACCTAGGCATGTGCCCTGACCAGAAATCGAATCAGAACTTCTCAGTCCATAAGATGACCCTCAATGCACTGAGCCACACCAGCCGGGCTCCATTAATTTTTCAGAGAGACTGGGAGGGAGCGAAGGGGAGAGAGAGAAAGTGAGCTAGTGAGAGGGGGAGAGAGAGAGACATCAATTGGTTGCCTCCCACACAGCCCTGGTGGAGGCCTGGGAAACCTGCAACCCAGGCATGCATCCTTGACCACAGTTGAATCCATGACCCTTCAGTCCAAGGGCCAGTGCTCTAACCGCTGAGCCAAACCAGCCAGGGCTGCCTCTTTTATCTTAAACACTTCCTTTGTGTCACTGTGCCCAGCTTTAATAAACATACTCTCAAAATTACTTGAACTAGAGTCATAAAATTTTCCTGCATGAAGTCAAGAACCCACACAATCCAGACTGTGCCACTGCAGACCCACCTCGATCCTGGTCTCTTTCTGGTGACAATGTGAAGGCACTGAGTTTGGGGTAATTTGTTATGCAGAGTAGCTAACAAGAATACCTGTTCTAGAAGATTTTTCAGGAAAATGTGGGAGACTCTGAAAGAAACCTGGTATTATTGGATTTAACCAATAAAAAAAACCCCTGCAAAATCCTCATTGCCAATAATTTAATAATACATGTTGCCAAGACTTCATGAATGGGTCCCTTCAGATGTGTCTGTTTCACTTCATTTAGAAACAATTTCCTAGTCAGATTTTCTTCACTTTGCTAGAACCCTGGGAAATCCAGGCCTGTTGTGAATTCAAGAACACAACCATCTTAACAGTGGAGAGCTCTACAATGCTGATGAGGTGCCAGGCTTGTGCCTCAGAACAGCTCTGCAAGGTCCATGCCACTTTGTTCCATTTTACAGGTGAAGCATGGAGGCCAGCAGAAGCTGACCCACATGACCAAATCATCCAGTAAATGACATGTGTCAGGTTGTAGAGCCAATTCCAACTCGACGAAAGCTATCATCCATCCCAGAATTCCCAAACTGCAGCACAGTTGCCGCTTAAGGCCCGATAATTCTTTGTGGTGTGGAGGTTGTCCTGTACATTATAGGAGGTTTAGCAGCACCCTGGCCTCCACCCACTAGATGCTAGTACTGTGCTTCCCCCTTCCCTAGTTGTGACAATTAAAATGTCTCCAAATGTGCCCTGGCCAGTTTGGCTCAGCAGTTAGAGCGTCGGCCTGCGGTCCGGAGAGACCCGGGTTCGGTTCCCGCTAAGGGCATGTACCTCGGTTGCAGGTTTGTCCCCGGCCCTGGTTGGTCGTGCGGGTGGCAGCCACTCGATGTGTCCCTTCACGTCGATGTTTCTCTCTCTCTCTCCCTCCCACTCTATCTGTACAAAAAATGAAAAAAT